ATGAAAAACGGTTTCATAGAATGTGTGGAAGGCGCGGAATATAAGAAACTTTATCCAACTGCACATTTTTATATTAGAAATTGCTATAAATCATTACGAACATCAGATAATTGTACGTTATCGTTTGGTTTAATTACTGGTTTACAATGCCGACTCGCATGTGAATTGATCAATAACTTAACGGTCGTTATCTTATATAAGTTATATGTGTCATGTCATATCTGCATTTTCCCCAATTTTGCCAATTAGTACTGTTGCGTTTGCGTCACGTTCTGTCATGCCGTTGTACCTACCTATATTTCTACATCGCGATTAAACAAATTACCAAGAATTGCCGAGATGGTAGATTGTTCCCAGTGCCTATTCGTTGTTTTATGAAGGAAAGTAATCTACGACCGGGGAATCAGTATTTTTAACCGACTTCAAAAAAGGAGGAGGTTCTGTGTTCTACTGTATATACAGGGTGTTACAGAATTCCGAAATAAAATTTGTAGGTATCTGAGCGGGGCGCAGGGGAGCCTGGGGGAGCTAGGGGGGTCTGTTTAGGTAGTAGTAATCGTACGCATTTATAGGGTTGTCATAGGCAGGTGTAAAACGCTATTTCTATTAATTTAATTAGAAAATAAAAGTGGTCTGAAAGGCGTTCTACTTTCGTAGGTAATTCTATACAAGGAACACAACAAAACCCTAAAGTTACACCCTGTATATTTTTTTTATGTATGTTCACCGATTTCTCCGTCAATTGTGGACCGATTTCCAAAATTCTTTTTTTATTCGAAAGAGTGCACTTCCTAGTTGGTCACATTGGAACCAAGTCAGGATCTGATGGTGGGATCCAGGGAAATCAAGGGAAACCTTCAAATTTCAAAGGCACGCACGATGTTTTTTTATGCATGTTCACCGATTTCTCCGTCAATTGTGTTATTGCTTACTTGAACGAAGTAATTTTCACTAAAATGGATGAAATAAAAAAAAAACAAAAAATAAAACCGACTTCAAAATCTAAAATGGAACTAAAAAGTAAAAATTAATATCTGGTTCATGTTTTGGAAGTCGCCCGACTTGGGGTCAAGTTTGAAACATTAAATAGATGTTCGTTTCTGATCGGTAATAATGCGTCTTTCAATCTTGACTCGCCCAACTTCCAAATCATGAACCAGTTATTATTTTTTACTTTTTAGTTACATTTTCGATTTTGAAGTCGGTTTATTTTTTGTTTATTTTTTTAAGTTAACATACAATGCAACACACTAATGGAAACGCGCAGCTGACCTATGTTTACACATTTACTTATCTACCTAGTTCTGAAGTTCCGGTGTTGCTTTTACATGGGAAGTTGCATCATAGTTTTACTTAAAATTTGTAAAATAGGAACACGAAGATTGCATATTTTCCGTAAATTAGTGATTGACATTTGAACTTTTCCATAAAAAAGGTAACTTTCCACACGGGTGTTTCAACTTATTCCTTTGGCAAGTAAAGTAGGTAATACCTCATGTAAAAACTGCGACAAAGCTGAAAACTATACTGAATAAAATAATCTCGTTAATGTGTTTCCTGGCTCATTTCTTTCGATTACAATAAGTACGAAAAAAAATCATTACCGGCATATTTTATTTTGATTTAATACGATAAATTGTAAAATTAATTGTGTTTATTATTGATCTTTGATGGTTTACTTAAATACATATTAGTAAGGCACCAAATCTTTATTATTGTCTTTAAATAATCAACATCTTCGCGGCATACTTACCGCTATTTTTTCAGCAAGCTAGCTAGGCTTGCTACTTACTTGCTTGCCATCTACTATATTTTTAGAGGTAACAGCTTCGAAAATACTATATTTGATAGACAAAAAGTTCCTAACCCTATGATTATAATATCTAGTGGGATCTAAAGTGTTTCTAGTGATTGTGGTCAAACTGAACGAAGGAGCGCCGAGAAATCTTGCAATCTGGTGTTCTTCTGTACTTTCTCGTACCTAACCTACTCACGGAAAATTAGCGAGTATTAGATCTGAGTACCAGGTACTGTAATTTCATTCCATAATGGGTGATCATTGCCTCTCTCATTATTAGGTGTTTTACCTACCTACCTACCTAACTTAACCAGTAAGCTTATGTCCCTGATTTGAAAACAGAATGACTCAAATAAATAATAAAATAATATCCAAGTCTAAGAAAGATTATCTAATAATGGTGAAAATGTTTATTCATAATTATTGCATATACATATGAGTATACGTAAGTTTATAACTTTATGTATAACAGATAATAAGCAGCAATTTATAAATAAAAATAAAAACTTCAGAAGTTCGTCACTACGTTCGTTCGTTCGTGCTTTGGACACTTTATTAAGCAAACTGAGAAGTGGATTACTTTAATAGGTTTACCTACTAAAAAAACAGTTAATTACAAAAAGTACTTGCTTACTTAAATGAAAAAGAACAGCATTTAAGTATTCACTTAAAATATTACTTTTATGATTCGAAACACGATTAATATATTAAAATTCTCACAGTACAGTTTATTTAATGTTCGCACAATTTAACTAAAACGTGTTTGTTCACACATTAACTGCGTGCTGAGAGCGTTTTGTGAACTTTTGTGTCTGCTGACCTTTCCCACGAAATTCCGGATAAACAATGTTCCTTCTTTATCTGCTGAATAGCGGAAAGTGAAGTACTGTTAAAGGAAAATCATGAATTACATAAAATTATCAGATTATAGATTAGTTTTATACTTATTTGCTTTTTAAATATGCAGAGTTTCTACGGGGTTCAAACATTTATGAACACACAAACTTAATTATGTATTAAATAAACATCACGTAATTATGACAAAGTCTAATAGAGTTATTAAATGTTCAAACATCTACCCAGTGGAGTGCGAAGATCTCGAAAATCAACACAACACCACCAAAAGGCAAATTAATTTTACTGTGTCTTCTGGAAGGTGATTTGGCTTACCTTGGGCTACTGGCCCCTGAGCTTAGAAGCTCAGAATTTGGAATCGGTAACCGCACACATGGTTTCTGGGGATTTGATTTATCTTAGGGGGACAAACGTTCCACTCGACCCCAAGTGGCAAAGGATGGAGGTTAAGTACTTGTTAAGAATATGTTGTCCAATTTAATATTTAAACAGAAATCAATATATTTAACATTCTTATGAATATCGAAAAATTATGCCATTGTTTCGCCTTGTAGGGCCGGCCTGCTCTGCGTTAAACGGGAGCACGGAGCGGACGTCCGCTCCACGTGCAGTTTCATAACATTAGAGCAGCGATGCGACCGGAGACCCGCCTACTCAGCGCTGCTCTATGAAATAAAAGGAAATAAACACGTCTCTGCAAAAGAACTGCGCTCCGTGTTACCCGCTTAACGCAGCGTAGGTTGGTAATAAGAAGAACCGCAAAGAAACATATTTTTCTCTCTGTTAAAATAATAACTATAGTACTACTTTTCTACATCTTGTATTCTAAGTGAAATCAACAGCTGACTGGGTGTATTTTGGCTCGGTCACCTTTTGTTGATCGTTCAGTAGGTATCGTATCGTCATAATCGAAACAATTGAACAAAATGTCGTTAAATCTGGGTCATTGGTAAACTCGCTTCCATGACGAATTCAGATTCGACCGTTAGCTGCACAGTGGAATCTTTATTAATACTTTTTAATGTAAAAAGACGAGTGACAAATAAAATGTTAGACTATTAGATTTTAGATTACCCAAATAGAAAAACAAGCTATTGAGGATTTCTTATTTGTACTTAATATGTTTTTACTTTACTTGCAACGAAGCTATGCTCATTAAAAAAATATAAAAATAGAATATCTGCTTATGTTCTCAAACCATAGTATTTTCGAGTAAAATTGTTCCTATTAGCGTTCATAGTCGTAATAAATGTGGATTAACACAAAATATAATTTTTCTTCTATATCTATTTAACGATAACATCAGTGCAACAATACTTTTGCGGTTCATGTCACTATTACTAAAACACGTCTAATATGGCTGATTACTGTTGAAGGTATGGTAAAAATTTGCTGCACGAAATCGCATCGCAGTTTTGTGTCAAAACACAATCTTGACAGTTCTTATTATAGTATTTAAGGTACAAGTCCGAACTGAACCGCAGACCACAGGCCGCAGCTGCAGACTGCAGGTGACACTACTAGTTTCTATGAATCTGTATGAAATTAATTCCGGGCTAGGCGACATTGCGGCCTGCAGCTGCGGCGCGTAGCCTGCGGCTGCGGCGTGCAGCGACTGCAGGCTGCAGTTCCAGTGGTGTCGCCAACCGCGGAGAGGTCACACCAAAGATTTGAATCGTTAGATATGCCCTTACCATAGTTTGACCGCACCGAAACCTGTCAATACTCGAATGAGCTAACTCCCATATTTTACCAATGTTTTTCCAATTCCCATTTTTTGCAAAAAAAGTAAAAAGGTACAATTCTAGGTATTATAATATACCTAGAATTGTACCTTTAAAGGTCGCAATGGGCTGCAGACGACAACCGCAGGCGACGCCTGCGGTTAACACTCATGAAAGGTAATTTCCACCCGAGATATCAAGTCGTGATAGGTCGAAAATGTTATGGTACGGTAAGTCATTAACAAAATTACAATACTCTTAATGTGCTTGTTACTGCTTGTGAGTAGGTAGGTATTAATATGTTTTGAGCGTGTACGTAACATTTTGAATTTCATAATTATATCGAATTATAATGTACCTCCTATAAGTTTTGGCACTTTTTTTTGAGAAAAAATTCAAAAGCCTCTAATGTAGAAGAAATTTACATAAATATCGAAGTAAAGTAAAAAAAATATTTTCTTATTTGTTGGCTGCAGATTAGTAAGGGTATATATACTATGGACCTTACAATTTACAGGCTTCTGTATGGCGGAGGATTATTTTACAGATACGCTTTATACCAGCAGGATTTCCTCTTTCAAATGTAATAAAATGTTAATAAATTCAATAATGAAAACACTTACGGTGACTCTCCATACAAGGAAAGTGGTGTGATCTCGTGGTACAGTGCGGAACGCCGCGTCGGCTGCGCGCGCGCTTCCAGCCTCGTCTTCCTGCCAAAGTCATAAAATATATATACAAACCCCGACAAACGTCAAGGACCATAGAAACAAAGAAGCCTGCGCAGTATCAATTTTACGTACTTACAAAACAGTCTACTGCTACTGTGCAATTTATTTGTCTGTGTTTTTGCTCATGAAGTTTGCCGGTACTTATACCAGAAACTCTTTGTGTATTCTGTGACCAGTATATACAATGTAAATGAATTTACATCACTTTCTCGAACCACCCACGTTTTAAACTCTCATCTTCGTTGCACGTCTATTATTGGGAGGCTCTTATTTGCAGAGTTAGGTATCTAACTAACTATATAATGGAATATGTCACGCATTGTGTTATGTGTGATACACGCACGCTGTCTGGAAAGTGATAATTCGTTGTAATCATATTTTTTAACAATTTTTAACAGGTTTTTGTAATGTTTATTGATGTATCTAAGTACATAGGTTCGTACACATAATATAACACGATAGGCAATAATATTATGGAAACAAATTGTACCTATTTATCTTAACTATCTACTGCTACATATGTATCCATAGATAGGCCAGTTATTCAAGTAATAGCTAAGTTGATCGGTCACGTGAGTCGATACAAACCCTGGGTGTGTCCAAGGCTAAGGGTGTGCTTCTGAAGCGCCTTAACCCGGCTTACATTCAACATAATGGAACAAATGAATGCTCTATTTAGTTGTAGGTCAGACCACAATGCCGGGTGCGGTCAAACGGCAAAACGAGAATGATGCATTGATGTTAATGTTTACTCAGATTCAATTATTTGAATGCTAGGTAACAATCTTCTGACTCAATATTACCTTCCTATTCAGAAGTTCCTATTATATACCTACATTTTGTACATAATCTATCGTATTCTGAATTAAAATTCATAAAAACCGTAGGTAGGTATAGTTTGTTCTTTTCTTGTGTTCGAATCAGGGTTGCCAGGTCCTTTCCAAATATATACCGAACAGTGTGCAAAAAAAACAGTTTAATCATTATTTATTAAATAACAAGTACCATTGCACAAGATTAACTAGCTAACCTAAATTATAAAAATTGTCTTTTTTCCCACTAATGCACGCTGCTTCCAGCATTAACATTCTTTATTATGCATTTCACGACATATCAGATTGTAATTGCATTATTTACATAATTTAGCCTTCATAATGTCCACACTTAATTTATTACAGCTGTCAGTAAACAAATGATTCATATGGCTAAATACTCTTTCCACATAAGCATTACTACATGGTACTGCCATTCGCATGCACGATCCGCAATCCACGAAATGGCTCAAAAACAGTGAACGCGTGTACCAAGCGGCAATATAGCACAAACTAAGTAGGGATGCTACGCAACATTGACTGCCGATTGCGTTAAATCTGATAGTTGAATCGTATATATAAGGGAGTAAAATTAATCAGAAAAAAATATACCGAACCGCCCATACTTCGGTATTTTTGTCATACCGAACACCAAACACGGTTCTAATATACCGAACGGTTCGGTAGAATACCGAACACCTGGCAACACTGGTTCGAATGTTTACATTTGCAGGTATTTATGCATAAGTTATGGCTGTTTCTATATATGTATATATATTTCTAGAAAAGTAGGTATATGTTTCATTATAGGTAATTACATATATGGGACATGAACCTATATATATAGGTAAGTGGGGTAATGATACTTAAAACAAATCCTTTATGAAGAAACAAGTACCTATACTTACATTTTTTTGATGTTGGATTGCGAATAGGTATATGATTTTATTGATTGATATATTTAATAAGCAGTAGGTCCCACCTACCGTCTTTGACCAATTGGAGGCCCTGGGCATATTAGGATAATGGGGCCCCTATGACTTTTGTTTGGTGATTTAACAGGAACTATGGACTTTGTATTTGATCTAAGGGGGCCCTCTATCGATCGCGGGGCCCTGGGCACTTGCCCAAAGTGGCCACTGGGAAAAACGGGTCTGTCAATAAGTAACTTTGAAACATTTAAATAACACAAACTTAAAAAGTACTAAGTATTCATTAATTATTAAGATTTTATTTAATAATTTACTTATCACACATGGGAGTCTACTCTATTTCTCCGAAACGAACTTTCGGTAACGAAGTACGAACGAAATTTAATTTCGTACTTGATTTGAACGATATACTATCAAAGGACATTGCTCGTTCCCCATACATTGAATGCCCTAGAACGCCCAGCAATGAGAAAATGCTAGTTGTGTTCGGAATCATTCATAAACTCTAAATAAGCATTTGTTGAGGTACGGACAACTTGAGGAACCGTGGCCTACTACAGAATGTATTAGATTTTGAGGTTATAATTATTATACTTAATCATAAAAGATGTACACTTTATATATTCTGAATAGATTTAGTGTTTACCCCTATGTAAGCACTTAAATAATAAGCATTAAATGAACATAAAATGCAATTTATAATAAAAATAATAAATGCTTATATTCATATTGATTTTACCTGTAGTAAGTAATGATAGATTTCTTTTCAAATGAAATGTTCAGTCTTTCCATTTACCTGTTTCTATATTTTACTAACGGTAATTAGGTATGTACCTGGTTATCATTATGATTTTCATAAAAATAAACAGATATTACATGGGATGGGAGTATAAACTATCTTTAGATAATTTCAGAAATAATCTTTTTATAAATATAATATAAATACTAGTAATAAGTATTATTAACTAAGGTTATATGTTGTAACTTTTATGTTGATAAATACCTATGGTCGCCTATATTGCATAACTAAGATAAACAATCTTGGCACAACTTTTTAACAGAATCACCCATTTAATATTAAAATATTAACGAAGAAAATAAACTATTAAAATAAATCGTTATTATATACTGAAACCTATTGAATCCAGTTATCAGTTGATTTTTAATGCTGTATTTTCAATAAAAAGGAGTGCCAAGTTGGATGAACAGACTGTAGTATCTAGTAACAGAACTTTTATTTTTTAAACAGATTGTCCGTTTACTATGAATAATTGCTAATAAGTTAAAAAAATAATAGAAAAATAATAGTGAAGGACATTCTTTTGGGCATGCTAGGGCCGAATTCGTCGATGTCCTTTAACTTTGCATTGAGTAAGCTTACAGAATACAAACCTCAATTTATTAATAATATTAATAAATTATTGGGCGAACTAATATTAATGTAATTAGAAGCGAATAAGAAAAATAGTAAGAAATTACGTTATTCGCTGAATTAGAGTAGGCCTCCTGGTAGTTACATTCATATATCTAAATAATTGATACTTCTTACTAAGAAACTTTTGTTTCGGATTAAAAGGGTTGCAAACAAGCTTATGGCCCGCCTGATGGTGAGGGCCAACATTGCCTATAGACACTTGCGATCCTAAAAATTGCCGTTCATCGGTCCGTTGCCTATCCTGACTCAAACCCCTACCCCATGGACAACTTTTAAAAAGTAGTATCATTACACCAAAATAAAAAAACCAGACTAGCTGTGCCCCGCGGTGCTACCCGCGGTGTGTTAAGGATATTATTCCGCAGTAAAACGTAGCCTATGTGTTAATCCAGAGTGTCAGCTAACTGCATACCACATTTTATTAAAATCGTTCCAGCCGTTTAGACGTGAAGAAGTAACAAACATACACACTTGCAAACTTTCGCCTTTAAAATGTTCGTGTGATACGTTCATAGGTGTACCTTTCTAAGTACCTAATTAATTTAATAGACACCGTTTGTATTTGATGATGGCAATAATATAAAAACAATATCTACCCAGGTATGCAAGTTATTAGCTAATTACATTTTTCTCAAAAATATTAATATCAAAACCTACGTCAGTCCTTCTGGGACACTGTTATTGGTTTTGCATTATTGTTTCAGTTGATTTTTCAGGTAATTTTTAAATTTCTAGCTTGTCCTGGCCAAAATTAAACTTAAATGCGGTTGTGGTCGCGATCCAAATAACTTATAGAATACAATTACTTAGATCAAGCTTTAAAGATTTGAATGTATAAGTAGATAAAGTATCAACATTGTATAATTTTGTTTGACGATTGCAGTAATTTTTAAGTAACATCACGATGTTTTGAAATATTCTCACAACTGGCGATTTCAATTGAATTTGTTGCTGAAACATAGTTCGTCGTCGAGCTTTCTGCTTTGTATAGCTTTTTAATCAGATTTAAGAAATAATACCTGCTACATTGTTATCCCACTGTTTTGTGATTCCATTAAGCAATATTTTGAAGCTTGACATCTAAGTAGTTAAATATATTAAGTACTCTACCTCATTCATTGCATAACGAAAAGCTTACCTACATATATGGCTTATTTTGCATTGGTACATAATGAATCGTGTTTTACATTGGTACGGAGAAAAGTTTTTTTATAAATCTCCTAAAATTTATAGTAACTTTATCTATATAAACATTATAATAAAATTAGGCCCGTAAAACCACTCAAAAAGAACTTTTTGCTTTATTTACTTCAGAAATAAAAACAAACAATTAGGTGCACTTTGTTTACAATAATAAAAATATTAAGTTTACTTGTTCGGCTCCAATCTCCAGAATATGCATTTTAGTCGCGGCGGTGGCGGTCAGTTAACAGCTGATTCCATAACCTGCCGAAGCCAGGTTGCCAGCAGCTCCCACTTGGATTTCGCGAACCACTGAGATGCAACCAACTACTTATTGGACGCGAGACGACCGCAACTATCTTGCACTGTCCACAGACTAACTGCCTCGCCGGCTCGCGGCGGCTGCTCGAAACGGCCGCGGCGTCGACGCAAAAAAGAAAATTGTTTCACGCCACTTGCGTTTACATATTTTAATAAGACTGCGACGAATAAATTAATTCCCGCGAAAGTCTGGGCGCTCTGCGCTCACCGATTGATGGGTGGCGTGGTGCGTCTATCGCATTTTCATCTGGCTGCATCGGCGGTTCAGTTCTAACGGCTTAATTACAGAGACCAATTATTGGAGCAATGGAATAATCAATGTTGTTATCAGAGCGTCTAATAGATACCTGCGGTGGTAACAACCATCAATGATTTCGAGATTGAGAGAATACTTTCTTGATGCACATCTTATTTAATCAATTGTCCAACGCTTATTTAATTATGCATGTATGTACGATCGATCTTATGAAGCAATTATAAACGTTCAATAATATTTTAGGGTAATTGTCACTTTAACTATAACAAAAGATATCTACTTAATACATAATGAAGTAACGGAATAGAAATATGTGCCCTTATAAAAAACGGCTAAAATCGTGTCATGCCTATCGAGATCTTCCACCTGATATTCGTCCATAAGGCCGTTGCACTGGCCGCGGTCGTCGGCAGCAGTGCACACTTTCTTATTAGCCGGGTCTGCGTCCGCGGCGGGCGCTGCGCTGCGCAGGAGTCGACCGCATCAGCACTGACTGAGCCGTCGAGATTTGCGCCGGAGCCATTCAGCACATCTGCCACCCGCGGCCCACAGGATCCACGCTTCGTCGCGTCTTTTATGCGTTTCGACATTACCGCATTCACTTTCATTTGTCATTTGGACACGTTTTGTGTCATGTCCGTAAACAAGTTGAGTTGTATTTACGCGTACACACGGTCAGATAGAACTGGCTTTTTATTAAACCGTGATTTGCAGTTTTATGTCCGAAACAAGGTCGTTTAGATTTTCTAATCTCGGACTAAGTATAAAATATATAAGAAAATTCTGTGGATTGCTAGCTTCATGGGTCTACTGTTTAAGTTGTACCTACCACATGGCACTTTACTATAGCTTTAGATAGAACCGAACTGAATATTTTTATTTATTTAAACAAATTACTTTATTTAAATTATTTCAAAATTTTACTAGAAAAAATTCGCCGCAGTCCAGGATGTAGACGTCGAACCTCGGTCAGTGTATCCGCCCCGATAGCGGAGGGCGCGGGTTCGAGTCCCGTCTTGCTTCCGCGACTTTGGACCACGTGGATATTTTCTAGTAAAATTTTCTTTAGACTTAAACACTGAGCTGATCATACAGTTTAATAATAAAATATTACTGTACTTAATGAACACATCGTCATATACCTTATTCCTGGTATTAGGTATTGATATTAATTTACACAATCAACAATGGCCGCGCCTAGTCATGCTCTTGAGAACCGTTATGCAGACAGATAATACCTATGTTGAACCACAATCGAAATAGACACGTCGGAAATTGATTCGAGACGGTCATTATAGGTGCTGCTTTTACAAGGACCTATATTCGTTTTTATTTTAGTTGAGTAAGGTTCTGGCTCTTCCGGATCCTAACTCAATGTGCAGAGACGTCAATTAACTTAAAAGTTTAATTAAAGCTGAAAGTGTCACATTCTTTGCAATAAAAATAGAATGAGACAAGACGCAACTTAATAGATCATAAAATTTATTTGACTTCACTGAAAGCGGCCTGGCGTTAAGATGGAGCCCGATTAGTTAGAATCCCATTGAATGGCCATTTAGCCTTAAAACCTTGGAAATTCTTGTAGTCCGGGAAAAGTGAGCCAAACGATTCCATTTCCGTCCCGGGCAGTACGCACATTAGACCAGACCCGATAATTTTTGAGACCAAAAAAAATATAGTAGGATGAAACCCATTGGAAAAGGTAGAGAATATAACAAAAATGAAAGGAAAAATAAATTACGGGCGATCTGAGGTCGGGAAGGTCCCCCTTCCCGACCTCAGATCGCCCGTAATTTATTTGGGGGGGTGAGTTTGTAGGTAATAAAAAGATCTACAACTTTTGTATCGACACTTTTTTCACATAATCTCAAAATTTATGTAAAAATTTTGAATAACCGAGTTTTTGGATTTTTATTTTTTGCAAAAAAAAATATTTTTCCACGAAATTTACTGAAAACTTACCTTTGTTTGTCCCAAACATACAGTATTTTTTTTTTATTTAAAAATTAATTTTTTCACCTTATTTTGACTTAATATCGAAAAAGCACCCTAATTTTCAATCGAAAATTCTCACGTCAAAATATCTGCTTTTTTAAAAAAGTTGGTGTGTTTTTTGTTTGTTGAAATCTCTACTTTCTGATGGTATGAAAAAAAAATAAACACTACTATGGTAAATGTTCTCAGAAACTGCAAATTAATAATGAAAAATACTCGAATCCGATATTTTTAATCATTATGTATTGATATATATATAGATATTGATATATTTGAGCTATTTATCAAAATTTACACTTTAATTACTCGAAAAACTTAATACTTCATGTTATATTGATAAACAAAAAAAATGCTAATCGAGATATACTTATTTCTATAATTAACAACCAAATAAATTCATAAAGTTAATATTTAATAAGACATCTACAATATTTTAAGAAAGTTTTCGAATCTTCTTTAAATTATATGCGTAGTTTTTATAAGTACCTGAGTGAACTAATTACTTATATAAGAACCTGAGTGAACAACTTTATTACTGAAAAAAAAATTCAGCAGTCACATTTTTTTAGATGAAATCCTTTTTAAATCCTATTTTTAATACTTACAACAACTATTTTTGCATGTTTTATGATTTGTATTTTTAGAAATCTTAAGAAAAAATACGTGTCCATTATTTTTTGATCATCTAACTGTCGGACTAAATAGAATTTCGTTTACTGTACCCCGTCATCACCCCTATTGATAAAACGCTGCGTCGTGTTTTTTAAGACTTTTAAAATAATAATCTGTAATTTAACTAATAAATCAATGAAATATTATTCAATGGATTTATTTTCATTTTTGTTTTCCTAGTAACTGAAGTAGGTATTCATAAGAATTCTTTAAAAACGCATCGTTTACCTAATTAAAATTTAAATTTGAGAACTGTAAATCGTGTTCAATGTTGGATAAAAAACAGATGCAATACATATAGCGACTTATTAAATAAGCTCGGAAGGTCGTTTAGGGATTTTAATATTTTTTGGACTTTCAAGCTTAGCATATAGAATAGACAATTTGAGATAGTTACTTGACCCACAGAAAAATAATTATCTCATCGCTTATGTTACTGTTTGGACACACAACTAGTAAGAGACACCTTCCACTAATTGAGGTTTGGCTCTTCGGAACGCTTTTAAGGGTCACGTAAGCATTTCAGTTAGTATACAAGTTCCTAGGCTTTGACAAAGTAGCTTTGATAACTACCTGTTATGTTGCAAACCAATTTAAATCAAAAGTAAACAGAGAGGTAGCCTAGTCTGACCATAGACAGTTTAGTGATTGGGATTCATAGAGCCTTATTAAAATCAAATGATCATATTCATCACATTATATTTATATCAAAGGATAAAAATTATTTCTGAATTGTGATTTGTTTTTGTCGTCCGTTTTATTTTTGTTAATTAAGTTTTTATTCTTCACTTTTTATATGTCAGCTAAGTTTAGGTAGCTAAGTTACAATAGTGTAATATAAACTAATATTTTACAAAATATTGCTTTTCTCGGTTTAGGGATGTTGATGGAAGTTCCAGGATGATCACTAGAGTTGACTGGCAATCACTCCCCAAAGTCCATCTTGCGGGCACTAATATTCCATTTAGCACCTCAGTGAAAAACTTAGGTTTAACTTTCGACAGCTGCATGAGTTGGGGAGCCTAGATGCAAGTGCTCATTATTATTGTTAAAGAGTTCTGTCTGACTACACTATCAGCTCCACTTCACTATACACGATACTTTGTTAATTCTTATTTTACTAGTTCCAGTGGCCATCTGTTGTCTTCATCATCAGTTCCGCTTTACCAGATGGCGCTTTCGTTAGATTAAATGGACAGATGGAGAATTGGAGTTTCTATCCAAAATTCCTTAATTACTATAGTCGGATCTGCTTATATTTTTTTAGGAGTTCCTTTGATTTCTGCAGGTTTCCTTTATTAGATCCTGACTTGATGACCATGGGTCTAACTGGGAAGTAAAACCACGTCGGACAAAAAAGAATTTTTCAAATCGGTTCAGCCATCTTCGAGTACTCGTCGAACAAACGTAAAAAACAAAGGTTCTGACGAATTGAAAACCTCTCCCGTTTTTGGAAGTTGGTTAATAATTTCAGAACGGCAAGGAAAAAAAGGCGCAACGCTTTTGTATGAACAACTAACGTAAATTCAGCGTAGCCGAATCTTATGTGCAATATGCAAGAACATGGACGAAGGATTATTAATAACGCAAAGATAAGGCTAGCTACAGTATCTTTGGATTGATATAATCTCTCTCTAATTTGTCTTTGAATATAGACGCGGGAAACAAATGAAGTTGTCATTGCAATTTAGTTTTTTAGAATAAATTAATGAGGATAAATAATCATGTATACAGATAATAATTCAGATAGAGAAAGTGAATGTGATCAAAGGAGCCCTTGTGACAGCCCGATTATCACCAAAAAATCAATATCTGCCGTTGGATTTACAAATATTGTTGAAAATCAGAATGCGAGACCTTTGAATCTTCGAGCAACACAATCCTTTACTGGGAATGTAGAGGAACTGAGATTGTGTAATAATTTACAAAGGATAAATTTAAGTAACCGAATGAATGTTATTTCAACACCTAAAGTTGCTACTATGTGTCCTTGTGGATGTTTACTCAGACCTGCTATAACTGGCCCTTTCAGGACCAGGGAACAGACTACATTGGCTTTACACGTAGTTTCTCCTGAAGTACTCAATCACCACGGATATTGCTTTGAACCTACTGAAATCGCTATGTTTTGGAAGAAAGACTGTAGAAAGTTTCTTTGGAAAGGCAAATCAAAAGCAAAAAATGTGATAGTGGCTGATCCACGTAAAAAGTAAGACCTGTAAAGGACCACTCTTGTGAACTTAGAAATAAAAAATAATAAATAATATTGCTTTTATTATTTTTACACTGCAACTTCAAAATGCAACAATCAGACCTAGGGCTAAACTATAGACAAGATAGCTTTAAGCTTTTAACATTTATATTAGGCATAAGTAGATAAATATATAAAATAAGATTCAATCTGGGAGTGATCCTACTGTAAAGTTTGAACTGTATCCAATGATTGTTTCTCAACACCGGGCAAGTTTGCTTCCATTGCTTCGCCACAGGAGAATCTTACGTAATCTAAAATTTCTACTTTGTTTTGCTGTAGTAATTCTTCGATAGTGTACGAAGGATCTAATAGGTATTCTTGGTAAATGAGGCAAATCTCGTCGTCGGCGTTTTTGGCTGGTTTATCGCGTTCCTTGTCGCCAATTTTTCTTGGTGCACAGCCGACGATATGCTGACAGAGCTGTCGACCAATGTCCTCGGTGTCTCCAGGTTGCTTGTACGCGAGTAATGCGCCATATTTGCCAGCAGAGTATTCCCCTGGGGTTGCAGGAGCGGGATGCGTATAGCCAGCTATCTTCACGTCCTTGTCGTTGGCTTTCCAGCACTCGGCTCGCCGTAATATGGCATTCTCACCGACCGATCCTATGAACAATGCCAGCACTTCGGTTAGTTTTTTACCACCTTCAACGGATAAATTACCAAGTTGTTCACTGTCCAACTCCATCTGTAAACAAACAGAACGAAATTTGTATGTTAGATAAATTTTAAATGGTAAAAACTACCTTACTTCTAGTCGTTCTGCAACTACTAGAAAGTATCATCAAGTGGGGTCAAAATGTTAGTTGAAGCATTGTGATAAAAAATCATTGTTAGGGACCCATAGTTTTATCTTAATAACGCACAGGTGATGACATACAAATAGACCTTAAAGGTGCAAAGGAATTTGGGTCACAGCAGGGTTAAAAAACGGCTTAACGGATTTGGATAAAATTCGCCAAATAGTTTATTGAGCGCACTGAGACTAAGGATAGTTTTTGGAACGGAGTTACTTTATGGACGGTATGTTGGATGGGGGGGCTATACGAAATAATTTAAGATTTTTCCGTTACATTACAACCTAGCGAGGCAGTTAGCTAGGCAGCTGGGTGTGGAGCTAGATGGGCAGCTAAGTGGGTGACCACTGATGGCGGTGGCTGTGGACTTGGTTTAAAGTTTTGGATTTGGTTTAGAGTGACGGACGGGGAGTAGTGAATGATGGATCGACGTGCATTTTTGAAGTAACAACTTTTTATGCTAAAGTAAACCGCTTCGTTACGTAACGCGTTACGGCGCCATTCTTTCTGGCTTCTCTTCGCCGCGAAGGAGATAGACGCCACAGCCCGCCCAGGTACCAGAGGGGTGTCCTCAGACCCACCCTTCTCCCACCTATCAATCCCCACTGTTACCCACCACTTTCCCTATTATCACCCATCAATCCCTACTATCACCCACCAATCCCCTTATCATCCTCGCATCCTTTTTACCCTCCAGTCTCACTTTTCACCCTCGGATCCCGTTTACACCCTCCAATGTTACTTTTTAATAGAAGGATATTTCGAAAATATTATTTTATGAATATGTTTTGGAACTGATAACTTCTTATGGGAGAGTAAACAGCTTCGTTAGGTAACGCGTCATGGCGCCAGTCTGTCTGGCTTAATTTCCTCTCACGCATACGTGTTTTTGAAGTGATAACTTCTTATGGGAGGGTAAATCGCTTCGTTACGTAATACGTTACAGCGTCAGTCTTGTCTGGCTTTCCTTCCTCTCACACATACGGCAGCGGTAGGCAGGCTCCTCCCCTCTCACTCTAACCAATAGCGCCGCTTAGATTAGAGACGCACACGCTTTTTTTAACTTTGTACGTTATGTCAACGCACCGTTCCACGTTGACAACGTCATGACGTGGAGATGTGGACAGGCAATTATATAGTTCACTTTCGATATAAAATATGATCGTCGTCATTGTCCATCTTACTCTAAATAGTGCAGTCTGTCTACGGATTTAAGTGGATGTACGTTTCGAATTATCACTTCTATTTTTTTCGTCGGTTATTTATTTTTATATATTTAAAAAAACCGTAGAATTCAATAAACCAAAATGTAAACAACCAAATATTATAGAACCGGAGTAAACAAGCTTTGGGTGAATTTGTGAAACAAAGCGACACTAGCGCCCCTAGCGGTAGGAGGTGAACGATTTGTATTTGTAATGTGTTTTGCATAGTGTTTTGTGTTGAGTAGTGTTACAATTACTGGATTTACAATAATTATATTGTAATAACTGTGAAATAAACTGTTAAAATGAATGAAATGAATGGTTCTTAATGAACTAGCCATAGATGAATGATTGGTCTCGCTTCACTCGACTAGATACCGCCGGCGTACTTGTCTAAGGGTGCGGCCAGAGTGCACTCAGATTCAGATTCAGATTTCGAAAACAAGCGTTTTCAGAATCTGAATCTGACTCTGAATCTGAGTGCACTCTGGCCGCACCCTAATGCGGCAACAAATACTATGCCGAAATCGGCATACCCGAGCTTTCACCGAGTCAGTCAATCTGACAGTTGTGTATGGGGTGTACGTAGTGAACGTTTTATTCAAATTTAGTGTTAATCGAAAGTAAAATGCCAGTTTATATAGTGAAATAATACATCAATAAATAACAACGACGCTGGGATCACATAGCATCAATAAGTATAGTAAAATTTCAACATAAAATAACATGAACCCTAAACGTCATTCAGGTGTTGCCGCGTATACAAGAATCAAGTCCCTATGGTTGAGATTTTTATTTATAATGTGAATTTATTGTTAGTGTTATTTATTATTGAACCTATGTTTTTGATAAGTTTTTGAAAGTAGCTCCGTAATGTCAAAATACGAGTAATTGGCAACAAAGCTGCAAAGGTCAGTTAAACTTTATAACAATTACTAACTACAAGTTTGTTTTTTTTTGTATTATTTTAAGTAGAATTATGTTATAAATATAAAAAATAAATATTATTTTAAGTAGAATTATATATGCTTGAATATTAATTGCTTAAAAATATTCTATATTGTAATTTGCTTGAGGTCAATATTTATTTTTTTATCTACTGTTAATTTCTTTTTCGTAAGCATTGTAATAGTGCGAAATAAATTCTTTTTTAAAAAATTTACCAATTTCATTGCTATTTTACGAATTTTACTACGAATTATGGGATTATTATCATTGATGACCTTTGTAGCCGAGCAGTTAGTATACCGGGTTTCAAGGTATCGCCTACTCAGAGGTTCTGAGTTCGAATCCTGAGTGTGCTGATGAATATGAGCACCTGTACCTAAGTCATAGATGTTAATGTATATTTCTAGATAAATAAACTTATATATGTATCAGTATATGTATTATATCCCTTCCCCCAGTATCCCTTAACACAAGCCTTACAGTGCTTCTTTGGGGCAAGGCTAATTGATATGAATGTAAAAGCTAGTATAGTCAAAATCACATAAATCCTAAAAGTAATTGCTTGCAAATTTTATGTCAAGTAAGAGAAAGCTAAAATAGTTTTGAATTGACAAAGTATTTTTATAGACAAAATGATCTTGATAATGGGAGGAGACTACAACCAAGGTTAAATGCCTGTATAATTTAACTATACAATGAGTTCTATTGTTTGAGACAACTTTAAAAAATCTATCTTTGTAGTGGAGGCTCTTAATGCAGGGGCTTTCATTACAATGGACAAAATCACACAGAAAACAGGCAATACATTACACTACACATAAGCACAGTCAGTAAGCATACTAATGACTGTAGATCTAGCAGAGACCAACAGCTTAATATGTTATAGATAGTGCCATGAAGATGACCAGTCTCTGTAAAAGTTCCTTCTCCAAACATGCAGACCAAACAAGAGCAGTGGTTACACATTAAGCCACTTAGCAGATATAAAGAATTAAAAAAACATACTTTTGTTACAGGGCCTTTAGATGTCAAGTTAGTATGTGCAAATTTGAAGCAAGCAGCAGTAGCATCTTCAATCATTCGATGGAATTTATCATTTTTGGCAACAAAATCTGTTTCACAGTTGAGTTCCACTAATGCTCCATGATTCTTGTTGAATTTGACAGCCACAAGTCCCTGAAGAGCAGACCGGCCAGCTAGCTTAGTGGCTTTAGCCCAACCCATAGCTTGTGCTTGATCATTCAACCATGCTTCTGCCTGCAATTAAAAAAGGATTTATTTTACTACTATCATTAAATAATTTTAAGTTTAAATACAAGAAATCTGACATTTAAATATTATTAAAATTAAAATATATAATTTCTTTCATTAAAATACATTGTAAGGATCCCTACTGTTGATGCTACCGAATCATTTATTCTAAATTTCTTAATTATATTGAGATTTAACGAACTCTGTATCTGTGTAACATAATTTACTTAAAATCACACATATTTATTTTATTAACCATTTCAATATTAACTCCTCGAAAATAAAAACCACTTTAGATTTTGGAAACATTCAAGGAGTACATTTACATTATTCTAAATTAGAAATCATGAATAAAATATCTGGGAAGGATAAAACACTTAATTGTTTTCACAATGGTCAAAATAAGCAATATTTTTGTTCAGAAAGATGTTTTTACCTTATCAGTATCGTTGTTATGCATTTCTAATGCTTTTTTGCAGTTTGCAATGGTGTATCCTGTCTTTTTTCTCAGTTTTGCCAGTAATGAAGAATCTGCAGCTCTACACACAGGTGCTATGTGCAATCTTCGAACTAACTGGAATATCATCTGTAATGGTTAATATTTACAACTTCAAATGATGTGCGTTATTGTGCAGAGTGGGTTAGATGAAATGGTCTGAAATGTGCAATATGATTATTTAAACTAGCATTTACAACCAATAATTGAATGAAGGAATCAAATACATTTAGATTTCATAAATTGCAATATAGATTTCCATTTCCAAGCATTATACACAAATGTATGAATCTGCTATCTGTATTGCAGATTTTACCAGACTACACTAAATTTCAGAAATTTTGCTTTAAAGTTATTAGTTAGATGCTAAAATGTGACTTACACAAAAATAAACTGTTACAGAATGCTTTTAACACATAACACAAATAAGAAACACTTTGTACAGTATTGAGAAATGGTTTCATGTGATAAACACCATGCTCATTAAAGTATGACATCATCATCTGCTCAATCAAGGGCACTAGAAGCTACCTATATTTAACCTAGGCAAGGTTATAAAAGCTTGTAGCATTTTCCACAATTTTACCTTAGAATATACCTCTAGCCTTTGCTTCATATTTCACCTACAATATTTACAAATTCGTGTTATCCCTCAAAAGTTTGTGTTGCATTCAAAAGAATATTCATTCATTCAATAGAAAAATAGATTAGAATATTCTCAATATATAATCTCTTTGGACAGCGCGGTTTAATTTAATATAATCAAAAACAAAACATCCATTGGTTAAAAACTATTTAGGAGATCGATTTTACAAAATCTCTATAGCAACAAATAACGACATTTCAATCAATTTAACAGCTAAACGTCTGTATCACTCAGGTGTATCACCTTATTGTTTGATATTGGTTTTTTTGGGTGCGCTTTTATTAGTTTTGCTTTGGTTATAGCTATGGGTGATTAAAATTGTAGCTCATACAAATCTTGACGTAACCCCTTTAAAGATTATACACAGTGCATTACTAACCTTTTCGAGTAACCAGGTAATACGAATTTAATTGTTGAAATTTATAATTTATTTATGAATACCTCTGATAATTATAAGTTCTATAGTTATATAGAATTTATAAAAAAAATAACCAAAAAATAACTTCGCACAATGAAGGAAGAGAAACATAACATCAATCATTCATCACTATTTTAACGTTTACTTACACTGAGCTGAAGATTATTTTTCATGTAAAATATTTTTGTTTTTTATTTTCTATAGTCGATTCCTCTCTATTTAAATACAATGCCTATATCAAAAAATATTATACAGAAGAGAAAATGTGATTTCTTTGTGAAAATATGTACCAAATGACATTCAAACGTTTCTTTAGGATTTTGACAGAGAGATACGAAATGTTATTTGTCAATGTCAGAAATACGTTTTGTTCATTGACGTGGTGACAATATATAAAAGCTTGTGTAGAATTATCCAAATGATGCAATTGGTCTAGATATTAAAGTTTTGGCTAATAATTAAACATAGAAATAATAAGACTTGTTTTGCACAATGCTATTTCAAAGTTCAGCGTTTCAGTTCTATATAAGCGCATGCCATAAAAATAAAGTAATGATCAAAACGCATTTCTTTACGACTTTTTGGCGGGAAGTTAATCGCAGTGCGCGCTTTTTCCTTTTTTATTTTATTTTTATTCGTTATTTTGTGAAACTATTATTTTAAAAAAGCTTTTAACATTAAGATGGGTCCTCTCAGCGATGGGAAAGACAAGCACTAAATGATCAGCACTAATATGTATAACAGCTGTTTTAGAAACCTGAAATGAATTTAATGAATCAATCTGGCGTGTGTTCTCACATTCTATTGCCATAGTAAAGAAACTGACAGCATCAACTGTATTCAAACTTAATAGACGATTTATTTCTCTGAGTGCGGCCGTAAAACTGGTTTAAAGTAAATGTTCCTACTACTAATTAAAGATAAACTATCTAAAAAAATCATTCTATGATACATTGGCCCTGCGTTAGCCCCGGTTTTAAAACAGCTAGTGAAATAACTAAAAAAGTACGTACAGTTTTAAAGTTATTATTAATTTGTATGTTTTCAAATTTAGGTTAATTCAAGAACATTCCCCAGATTTTTTAAGTTGGCCCTTTTTTACACTAAGTGGAAGGAGCCCAAGTGATCCTAACTGCCGCATTCAAAGCCGTTATTTTAGAGTACTTATGTGACTTTCCAACAAGGAACTCTAAATAAATATTTTTATTGAATTTATAGGTATTCATAAAAATGAGACCCGGGGGGATTCGCCTAACGGGATTGCTTCGGAAAACGCTATCGCTTACGATTTCATTTTGTCATTTTTGACAGCCGAAGGTTTTCAAATACCTCACGCTCCTTTTCTTTAATATTGTTATTACCAATGCAAAAGAAAAAAGGGCGCGAGGCATTTGGAAACCTCAGGCGGTTAGAAATGACAAAATGAAATCGTAAGCGATAGCGTTTTCCAAAGAAATCCCGTTAGGCTTACGGCCCCCAGAACTGTCTGTTCTGGATTGCTTTAACAACATTTAAACCGCAAAAACTTTAACATTAATTCACAATAAATAAGATTTACCTAAGGTATTTACGAGCTATAAAAATTTAAAATTGTTACAGCGGCCTAAGTATGCAGCGACCTAAACAAACCCGTAAGAAAAGTCACCCAGAGCCTTCCTCTTCGGAAGCAAAGCTCCCTAAACTACCCAAGATCTCCATGCCCGAGGACTTTAAGATTCGGACCCGGCCGTTATTTTCGTTGCCCGAGGAGGTCTTAAAATTACCTCCACCGACATCGAAAGCAGCGAAAATACAAGCTGCTAAAGCTGCCTCTACAGGAAAAAGAAGAAAACCTTCTAGTGGTATTTATGTAATCATCATCATCACCAGCCTACTAATGCCCCCACTGCTAGGGCAAAGGCTTTCCCTATGGATGGAGTAGGGACATTGGGTCACCATGATCCACGCGGGTCCAGTGCGGATACGTGGGTGCTAATGACAGCAGATGCAGCCGGGACCAACTTAAATAAAAGGACGAACGCGCTATCTAGCTCCTAAAAAAAGAACATTGACAGCATAGTTGGATTTAATGTGAATGTAAAAAAATGTATATTATTTTAACTTTTCATGGTCACTAAAATTACATATACAATTACAGGTACATAGGCGTCGATTCCGTCATGATTCTCTAAACTTAAAACTAAATTTAACATCAGATTCTCGTTTTCATTCTGTATAGAGAATGACATGGATACACTGTTGTCAAATTTTAGTTTAGGATTATAAAATTATGTCAGAATCGACACCATAGTAATTTATTGTGATCGACATAATTGACAGGTTGACGGAATCGCTACATGCATCTGGTTTTTTGCAAGTCGCCGACATTTCGGCAGTGTCCCCTAGCTTGGAGAGACATTGAAAAAATCAAAAACGGGTACAGTAATTTCATTTTCCACCCTCAAGGGAACAGCCAAGTGGCTAGGATCGCTAAACACGACAGAGCTGTGACATAAATACGAGTACTCAATATACAATTTTAAAGTAAGCCCTGATGTCTTCTCAATCTAGGGGAGCCATCAGTAATATAGGAATTCTAATGTCTCCCCTAGGGGGGCCGTCATCCAAAAATCCGCACCAAAATTATTTTTAGTGGTCTACTGTAAGATGAAGATTACTTCCCCAGATGGGGAATCTTCCCCTCTTATTCGAACGGGAAATCCGCTATGTTTTGCATCTTTTAATTCGTGCAAACAGATTTCTTTCTTTATATTACCTATTAGTCAAAGTTTATGCTCGTAGGTTATGCGTATTGTCTAAAGCATTTCGAAATTTAATTTTAACTTATACGCTGAAATAGTTACGTATTAGTTTAACACGTGTATGATTTCAAGATTAGTACAACAAAATTGTTTTCTCTTACCGAGACGAAATTTCATATAATTTTAACAAAGTATTATAACGGAATATTGTTTCAGTTATGCAAAGCTTCACTGCTATGAGAAAGGCGCGTGAGGAATTCAGAGAGAAACTCATGAAATTGATATGCCAAAACGCTCCCGGCGAAGATGGGGACAGTATTCCATCCGGGGAGGAGAAAAACATGCTGCGCTATTATTATTACCTGCGTTATGGGATAGACACTATACATGTTGCCCCTTTAGACAATAGAATCATATTGCGGTAAGTGAGGACGCTTTTTAACAGTAAATTGTAGATGTTACTCTTATACTTTTTATGCGGAAAGGGCAAATAAGATACCCGCTTGATAGTAAGCATCTAGCATAGTATGCTATCTCCTTTTTCTTGCAACGGGCGTTTCCGCAACTCGACACTTTTATGGCGCCTGTTTTGCATGAGGAGGATGTGTAGCCGGAATCACTAGCCAGCCCAGCTCCGTCAGGAACGCCCCCCAGGGCCTTGACATTGGTGATTGCCTCTTGGAGGTTTCTCGGTGAGCCGAGGTATTCTGCCTGGTATTCGGCTACTCCTAATCCACGTCTCTTGGATTAGTGTGACTGCTTTGTTGTTGGTCTCCAACCACCGCCGAAGCGGAGCCGTAGCAGTAACGCTGTGGTGGAGATTGATTTGCAGTATGTTGGCACTACTGTAGAGGGACGCCAAGGTCCTGGCATTCGACGCCCTTAAGCTCCAGCCCGTCGAACTCCAAGAGACATTCATCACTAAGCGGCGAGGACGGCACCTGCGAGGGTCCTGGAACAGTGGCCGTGGGGCCAGCGCTGGATGTTAATGGTGTAGGGGGCGCTGGTGTGTCGGTCGTCGTGGTTTGAGCTCCGATTGGTGCTGAGGGGTCGGACGTCGGCGGTGTCTCGACGTACTTCCCCTTGGCGTCCCTGAACTTCAGGTACACTGACCCAAACATAAAGCTGAGTCGGCATCTTCTAGCCAGGATCGCAGGCACAACGTCCTCTGGGATCGAAACCATAACGAATGTGGTCCCGATGGAAGACTGCTGTTGGATGCCATTAAACAGAAACATCGGGTTTCAGTTCCGGATTCCCGATCTGTAGGCGTTTGCCTAGCAAAGCCTGTTCGTGCTTCTAGAGCTTGGGCAGCACAAAACTACATCTGACTCTTTTGGGGATCTCTTCGTCCAGTAGATGAACCCGGTCTTCGACCTGACGGCGCATCTGATGAGAACCAAGGAGGCTGCAGCCGCCGCGTAGGATTTTGGGGTTGTCCGGGCGCCGTTGTCTTAGGCCTTGGGTTCGCCTCGAGGAAACACTGTCTCATCAAGCCTAGCCCGCTTGGCCTCAGGAGAGGCTAATAGTCTATCGGGTCGCCTCCCTTTTCTCGGTAGAGCCAGTATGTCTTTGTTAGGGTCGGCCTTGAGGAGTGACAGGATTTAGGATGAAGGAGGGCTTTAACGATATGTTACCTTATATTAAACAAACTTCCACCCGTTATAGTTGGTTTAACGTAACACTTTTCTGGGTTAAAAAGAATCGTTTTTTTTTTGTGACGAGGGGAATTGCAGTTACGCACCATACCGTGACGCTGACTAGGCGCACGGCGTGTGTGGGACTCGCCGGCACGGGAAACAGTGCCGACCCTACTCAAGCAGGACCAGTGCGGAAGGCCACACTGATCCTACTCCACTAAAACCCCCCGGTACCCTCCTACGCCCATATGGGGGCGTCTCAGGATCGACGCACCTTAGCGTGCGCCACTTCACTGGGACGCCCCCGGGCAGGCCCGGCCCAACGAGTGAACCGGGCGACGCGCCTCAGGGGGACTGCGCTAGGGTACTAGGCAGTCCCCAAACGTGGTGGCCTATGCCGGAGCGGCACCTAGGACGCACGGCTGGTCAGGCCGTGCCCAGACCACCTTAGGGCCGTCGAAGACCGGCAGACACCGATGCCTGCCTTCTTCGGCCCACCCGTCTACGCCGGAGATGGGGGGCTAGAGCGTCCTCCTCCCGCTCCCTCTCCGCTGCCTCCTTCTGCGCCATCACAGATTCGCAGAAGGAGGCGGCCGCCCTCCAGGCTCTCTCGCTACCAAGCATGGCCCTTACCATACTTGGCAGCGTGAGGCCTCCTCCGCCGAGCGCCGCGATCAGATCGCGGCGCTCATTTCGCCAGGCCGGGCACACGATCAACGTGTGCTCGGCCGTGTCATCGGGAGAGGCGCAGTGATGACTACAGATGGAAAAAACGGCTTATTTCTTAAAAGCATTTAAACGTTGTACTTTTTAAAATAAGCGCGCTTGAAAAAAAGCTTTTTCGTTTAAACGCTTGTTGGCTTAAACGTTTAAAAGCATGCGTAAAAAGCGCGACGTTGTGTTGTGTTTTCGTTTAGGTATATCGTTTAAAAAAGCGTGAAAAGTTTCTTGTCGTTTTTAATGTGTTTAAGTGTTTTATTGCGTTTTTACTTCTTATTAATGAAATTTTTTATTAAAATGTTTTTTTAAACCTAATGAATTGATTGGCATTAAAAACGAAAGATTTTCAATGAATTTAGATTTTATAATAAACATTTTTATAATAGTCAATGAACTTTCCTTCGAACTTTACAAGCTTAGGACTGTCTGGAGTTAATATACTCGTGATCCAGGCGTACTTAAAAGTTCATTGATTTTATATACATACTTTTAACTATTTTATATGCACATTAAACCAATACACGAAACGCATTAACACAAGCAAGCATGCAAACACACCGTACAACACCCACGCGCTCTTACCCCGTCACAGTGACAAGCGTACTGCTTTTCGACTTCGTTTAATTAAACGCTTTTAACGAAAAAAGCGTTGGTTATCCGACCAAATTTAAAAAAAGTGCATTTTTTTACGTCGCATTATAATAATTCGCATGCTGTATTAACCGGCTCACCAACGATGGCACGTCGACGCGGCGCTGTAGTCGCGCGTTCTATGTCTGATATTGTGAAATATTTAGTTCCAAGGAATTCCGCGTACCCATTTTTCGATACTGTAGTGGACTAGAAGGATCGAAGTATGTAGTTTCCTGGCAAAGACATAGATGGCGGGATTTGCACTTTTTAAGTAAAAAATATACTTGCACTTTTTTAAGTGAAAAGCTTACTCACACTTTTTAAGTGAAAAGCTTATAACGCTTATACTTAAAAGCGTGCTTACAAGCTTAATATTTTAAGCGCGCTTATTTAAGCGCTTTTCGTTTAAACGCCCACCGCTAGTGATGACACCGCGGCGTCTCCTCCCGACGGGCGACTCGGTGCAGGTAGTGACCGAAGCATCCATGTCCGGTCAGTACCTGCACCAGGCGGTAGGTGAGGGTGCCCCGCTGGCGCCCTACGGGTTAAAAAGAATCCTAGGTATGACTATTTAAATCCGTTAAGTTTATGCGTAACAATAGTAGATTGTTGTATCGAGCGCAAAGTGAGTTATTAATGCACTAGTGCTATATTGGCGCGAGTACAAGTGCATTAATAACTCACTTTAGCAAGATGCGTAATCTAATTTTTGATGTTATACTTCTTTAGGCGCGTTATGAAAAAATGATGAGCGTGAAATTTTAAGATGCGCGCGCATCACTGTAACACAAAAAATTAACAGCATGAAGTTGGTTGGACCAACTCCATGCTGTTACTTTTGTGTTTACCGCACATTAAGAAAATCTACCAACAAAATAGAATCTCTATTTAGTGGGTGCTAACGACTGCATTGTGAAGGCCTATCAAAAGTATTTATTAATGTGGAACAACGGAACCAAAGCGCGATTCAGGAGACTACAGCGCCATCTCTTGACCATTGGTGTAGTAGAACCAAAAACCACATCTTTATTTTTTGTAATAAAGTAACAGTTAGAGGTATTCATATTTATAATATTTATCCACATGTTTCTAGTTTGTATATTCGGAATACGTGTTTGAGTTTCATACAAGTGCAAATCACATATGTTCTAATAAATTATATTCAGTAGCGATTTTAATTGAATATTTTGATTATTTATTTATTTTTTCAAATTAAAACTGAACTTTATTGACTGTGTCCTTTTCCAGACTTTTTATTAATTTATTGTAATTAATTATTTGCATGCAATTAAAAACTAATTAGAAACGATGCCAAAGAAGGATAACTTCTCACGCGCCTACATAAGTACACGCACCCATTTTTTTTCTATCAACTACTGATCTACCTAGCGTGAAAAGGTATACATACTAAAAATAAAAACTCAAGTTAATAAAACATATTTAGATTTCAAAGTCATGTTGTTTTCACTATTTATATTATCCTATAATTGTTCTGAATCACGTTGCTTAGTTTGTTTCTTAATACACATAAGTTCAATCATATTTTCAAATAGTCAACCTTAAACATTTAACTCTGGATTTAAATAAGTTCAATAATTCAATATTACCCGCCATACCGTAATTAAATTCAATAATTCGCGTCGAAACGGAACTTCGTTCCAAAAAAAACAGTACATCAATGAAAAACACTGCTACAATGAGATTTCGTATAAACTATTCTGCACTGTTTTGGTTCTAAGCAAAAGATATGTCCTAAGTGATCTGTTTTGTAGCGATAAATGATTACATTACTGCGTAGTTAAAGAGAATATACAAACATCCACACTTTCTCATTTATAATTTAATAGGTATTAGAATATAAGTAGGAAAAGGGAGTTTTACCCACATAAAAACATAAATAAAAAGAAAATAATAGTTTTATTTTAAAAGCATTTAATTGAGAGATGTTTAAATCTAAACGCGTGGATTTTTTATAGTAAAATTTTCATAGTATTTAATAACACTAAATTATTTGTAATAACATTTTGTAGAGTTCATAATTTAATCTCGCCTAAATTGAAAAAATGGAAGGATACCTTGTTCACGTGTACTGACGAGATGCGGGAAGACTTCATGATGAGCATGAAAAAGGCCATAGTGGACTTCGTTCTTAAGGACCCTAATACGGTAAGCAATCTAAAACTTCTTTTACATGATAAATTGATACTATACAGATGAAAATCCTGTAAAATTATCGATCATATCCATTTTTTGTGTCATAAATAACGTCATAAGCATTAACCTTGCTAAAGTTGTAGATAAGACTATACTTAGATTATAAAAAGATACGAAACTATCGATAGCTTTCACACTATTTCATAGCACCACTTTTCAGAAGCATATTTCATTGAAATAATTATATTTGTTTATCAAGTTTCATAAAGTCTCTTACGCACCTATTGTTTTTTAGAGAAATGGATTAAATTATAAACTTTGAAGTCGATTGAATATGATGAGGTTAGGTAGATAGACATTAAATAAAAGTTCTAAAAATCTAGTTTAACTAACGGCGCGTTCATAGAAAACTAAATAAGAATAGAGTGAAAGGTAAGCTTTATCTTTTCAGGAAGAATCTTTAGAAGAAGAAGACACTCCTTTGAAACAAGAACTATCAAAAAAAGATGACGCTTGGAGAAACCGCTATGCTGTCGCTCATAAGTATCTTACCAGAAACTTACATACTGTTAATCCATGTATATCACAGGTTTTGCAAATATGGTGGAAGCAATTTAAGTAAGACCCATAACTACTTATCAAAATAGAAACAAATTTTAAAACATGTTAGCCGAAATCTTGACTCACTCAAATAAATATTGATTTTAGCGAATTACGGTTGGTTAGTACGAAGGATATAATGATGACTAACGAATCGTACGATTTACAAGATTTTAGTTTCGTTTGCAAGAGGCATATTGATGCTGCTGGAAATGTTCTCACCATGCAATGGATACCTACAATACAGGCGGTTTTCTTACAGGTTATTTTAAAACTCATAATTCAACAATATTTTTGTAATATATACTTAGTAATGAACATTTATATTTCAGGGAAATAAGAAGAAACAGATTCCGGACTCGAAACAAACAGCTAAGATGAAACGTTTTTATAATTGCTTAGCGTGTATTATGACCTACAATCTTCAGACGTTGTGCTTGAAATCAATGAAAGATTATACTGAATACATACTTGACGTTGGGGTATAAAACGTTAACATATCATATATTTTGTTCAACTTGCTGAATAAGATAAAAATAAAAAAATATGTTACAGGGCAAAAATCAAGGCTTTGTCATCAACCTCGCTTTTCAAAACGAAGCTATAGAATTTGAACCATCTTTTAAGCAATTTAAAGATCAACTTTGTTTGCTGTATGATTTCCTAATTGATGCCTGTCGACAATGTCCTCGTTTAGAGACGCTACTTTATCAAGATTACGATCCTAGTGAATCCACTACACTGAAAGTACTTAATATTTTACAATTAAATACTTTTTATAATTGTTATTTTATATTATACCCACACAAATCTCTTAAATATTTTTATTTTTAGCCAATAATAGACGAAGATTTGGTCGATGATTACAAAAAGCTCGTAGCTGAACTGATAAGTGAGCAAAGGATTGGTCCTGAGTTGAGGGTTCAAGATTTCGATGATTATGTTTGTCTCCTTAATGGCGACGTAAGCAATACTAATATCTGTACTAATATTATAAAGCTGAAGAGTTTGTTTGGTTGAACGTGCTAATCTTAGGAACTACTGATTCAAATAGAAAAAGTATTTTTTGTGATAAATAGCCCATTTATAGAGAAAGGTTTTATAGGTTACTAGCTGACCCAGCTAGCTAGTTTTGTCCAGCGGACAAAATTGTGAATCTAAACCATTCTCAGATCCCCTTGAACACACACAAAAAATTTCATCAAAATCGGTCCAGTCGTTTAAGAGAAGTTCAGTGACATACACACTCACAGACGAATTATATATATAAAGATATAACATCATGATAAGACTAATAGGAGCCGAGCATCAATGGAAAATGTTGCGAAAACGGGAACAATATTCCTTTTCAGAGCTTTCATTGCGTGCGCTGCATATATGGTATCATATATATCATTATATATATGATTCCGTCCTAACCAAAAAATATGTATGACGGAATTGTTGCCCTTGAAAAGTTCCAAAAAAAAAAGACCGCGACAGCTTATACCCATTTTTAAGGTTAACTCATTATAACCTTTTTTTCTCAAATTAACCACATTCATTGACTGTTAGGTAAGACGAAGTTTGGTCAGAAAGTAAAATAATAAAACTTCTGTAGTCCAAAAAAACTTGACAATACAAGTAAATACACTCAGTATTTACAAATTGTTTTTTGTTTCATTCAGTCTATGAAAAAAGTGGAGGATTTTATAAATGCGCGGCCCGAGAAAACATTTGAGGAATTTTGTGCCGAATCTGTGCAATTTGTGGAACTTGCACGGGAGATACCTTCGAAACTCGAAGGTACAATAATGATCGGGATGTTCCGTATGCAGAGGGGAGACTTGATCAACTCGCTCCGTAGCGCTGCTACGAGAATGGCCAACATGTTGTTACGGAGAATGACGGAGGACTACCAAAATATGATTAAAGCGTAAATGACAAATTTACTTTATTTTAAAAAACATGATTTAATTATCTCTTCGCTATTTGTTTCTAATATTTCGACATACACCAGTTATGAAGCACAGTCAATAGAATTTTCACATAATTTTTTAGATTACGTATAATTTTCAGGCCACAAAGTTTGTTCGTACAAGCAGTTTGTAGTCCGAAACTTCAATAATAATGTTATAAACGTACTTCATATAAGCTTAAGACTGTTTTATTAAACGCTTATTTGCAGAATTTTCGATGAATATTCTATGATAGCTAACACTTTACTCACGCCGCCTCCGGACACGGCTGCATTGATGGATCTCATGGCATATTGTAAAAAGACAGAGGATGTACTACTTGATGAAATGGAAGAAAAATTGCGAAATGTGCTGCGCTACATTATGTTCTTGGGAGATTACACTACGTTCACTCCGCTTGAAATGAAGGCTAACAACCAGACATTCCATTGGCAAGTATCGTTCCGATCGATTTAATATAAGTTCCAATAGACGTGCCAATAATTTTAGTTTTTCAAGCTAAGCAAGTGAAGTATGACTTTACCAAAACAAGCTTTAAATACAAATTAAGCGTTTCAATATTTATCTATAAGTATTTAATCGATCGATCGATCTATTTAACCATAAATATATTTAGATAAAGTACTGGTCCCTCTTATTTATAAAGGAAAGTCAAACTTGATGGGTGCAAGTTGATGTAATTACTTACTTCTATTTGGAAGTTGTGTATGATGTACGAGTTCAGAAAAGTGATTAATTTTACAGGTATGCTAGAATGCCAGGCATTATTGATGAATGTAAATTAATTTGTGATCAGAAGAAGGTTGAATATCAAGAGCTATTAAAGGTAATCTTGATTAAAAATGATGTGTCATTTCCCAATTAACTTTCTTTCAGTAAATAACATATTACCAAACTTGTTTCAGGCTCGTATTTCTAAATTCATTGATGATTTAAATGTATACGAAATACAATGTAACGAAGTGCAGTATTGGGGTGATATCCACGAACTACCTAAATATGTCAGTCGAGCCCGTCATTTGGATGAAAAGTAAGACTATGACGAAGTAGTTAGCGTGGTAGTTTTTTTTTTCATATACGAAGATAACTCGCATTACAAACATACATATATAGAAATTTGCTGGCTTCAAGTATATTCTCCTAGCTTACCTCTGGGAACTCTTGAAATCTTATAGTCCATGCAAAAACGTAATACAGAATATTATTGATTATTAGTTGTTTCTAATAAAATGGAGAATCCTACACTGGACACGGTGCTTCATCGCTGTTGGAAAATCTGCTGAGACCTGCCTATCAAATATTTTTGGCAAATAAATGAAAATGCAAGACTTACAATAATAACTCCGGACATTTCATCATATCACAGGTTAGCTGGTGCGTTAGAAAAAATCGATCAATTTAATGAGGAAGAGGCATCATTTGGCTATGAGTTGTCTCAGTATCCAAAAAGGAAGGCTATATTTGACAAACTGGTGCCTTACAAAAAACTTTTTGATGCGGGCTTCGACTTTTTGGGGAAATATAACATATGGATGTCATCAAAGGTAAAGCTCTCGAAAGTCATATTTTGATTTAAATTTTTGGGTACCTAATTATATCTGATCATTATATTTACCTAGGTGGGAAGTTTCGATCCAGAAGATATAGAAAGTGACGTCGGCTATTTTTACAAAATTGTTTATAAACTAGAGAAACAGTTTCAAGAAGTGCCAGATACCCATAGACTTGCGGTTTCTGTCCGGTAACTATCATTTTTTAATATTCTATTATATACATAAACTATATAATATTTTATACATAAATTATTATACAATAATGATTCTTATATGGCAGATTTTTGAAATTAATGTTTCTAATCACATCATCAATATCTATTCAGCGAAAAGATGGACGACTTCAAGACAAATTTGCCAATAATTCAAACTCTCGGAAATCCTGGTATGAAAGCCCGCCATTGGGAAAAAGTGTCAGAAATAGTTGGTTTCCCAATAGTTGTGGACGATGAACTCTCACTGGAGAAAGTTATTGACTTTAATCTTGTGGAGTATATTGAGAAATTCGAGAGCATATCGGAAGCAGCTACCAAAGAAAACAACTTAGAAAAGGCACTCGATAAAATGATGAAAGAATGGGCGGATCTGAGATTCGATATATTAAGTTACAAGTTTGTATCTAAATACATACTAAAACTTTTTCAATATTTCACAATATTATCATGTCTGTTAATTATTGTAATTTTCACAGGGATACCGGAACGTATATCTTATCGAGTGTTGACGAAATTCAGCTATTGTTGGATGATCACATAGTGAAGACGCAGACTATGAAAAACTCTCCTTACATCAAACCTTTCGAGGAAATAATTTAGTAAGTAAATAATTTTGCTGTTAACTTTTACTATTTTTTTTTTGTTATAATGAGCATGGCACCATTTATCGATTTTTTAATAATAGCGACTGGGAGGGTAAACTAATTCTTCTGCAAGACATTTTGGACGAGTGGCTCAAAGTGCAGGCCACTTGGATGTACCTTGAACCAATATTTTCATCTCCTGACATTCAGCAGCAAATTCCAGAGGAAGGTCGTCGGTTCAGCGCCGTTGATAAGGTAAATGAATAGTATGTGTTTTGGGGATACCCACTAATACATACTTATAAATAAAACATACTTTTTTATTATTTATAGATGTGGCGTGAAATAATGAAAGCTGCGTCTAGCGAACCAAGAGTTCTCGATGTAATCACAATTGAGAAAATGTTAGACCGTTTACGTAAATCCAATAACCTGCTGGAGATGGTACAACGCGGTCTAAATGCATATCTAGAGAAGAAACGACTTTATTTCCCGCGCTTCTTTTTCTTGTCTAATGATGAACTCCTTGAGATCTTATCTGAAACCAAAGATCCAATGCGGTAAGATATGACTATTTAGACGATTTCATGAATTCGTATTATCATTATATTTTCCCAGATTTTCAATAGTGATAATTCCGTCTTTAAAATATTCTTCAAGGAATAATCTATATCCAATTTTTATTTTAACTTTCGTATCAAAGTGTGCAGCCTCATTTGAAGAAGTGTTTCGAGGGAATAGCTAAGCTGAGTTTCACTGAAGACATGGTGGTGACACATATGAGGTCTTCGGAAGGAGAACTTGTTATGCTGACGATGACGATCAATACAGCAGCTGCTAGAGGACAGGTGAGACAATGGTTGAAATCAAATAATAAAGTACATATTCTTCAAACAATAATATTATGTTTTCAATATAGGTAGAAAAATGGTTGCTAGAATTGGAGAAGGCGATGAAAGCATCTGTCCACTACGTAGTTGGAAATTCGTATGACGACTACATCCAACGGCCACGACAAGATTGGGTGATCAAGTGGCCAGGACAAGCAGTACGTATAAATCTCACTTTCGTACACGTAACATGAAAATAGAGGTACATACAATAAAAAAAAATTTTTTTTACTAACTAGTCCAGGTAATAACCTGGACTAGTTAGTGTCGAGCCAAGAAATCACGAACTATATACAAATGGAATAAGGTGAACAGGCAATAACCCAGCACGCCGTTCTAGTGTGGATTGGTGCCAGGTTACTTCTACGACGGGATTAGATTTTTGTATAATGTGCTCAAATGTTCAATTTAATGTTTGATCTTAGAATGATTCCTCGTATTTTGATAGTTGTTTTTCAATATAGGTATTATATAGGTATACAATATATATCAATCCTTATGTATTTTCAGGTTCAATGTATAGCAATGACGTTCTGGACTTCGGAAGTGACGGAGGCTATTCATATTAATATCCCGGCCATGAGAGCTTACTGGGACAAATGCAATTACCAGATATCAAAGATCGTAGACTTGGTGCGTGGAGAGCTAAGTCTTCAGAATAGAATTACTCTCGGTAATAAACTTTACTTCGATGTTTTGGGAAATTGCGATTTAATATAGTAAAATCCTTTTTTATTCTTTTATTTTCAATTATTTCAGGTGCTTTGGTTGTGTTAGATGTACATGCCAGAGATGTGTTGATGTTGCTCATTGAATTCAAAGTACAACAAGACAATGATTTCAATTGGCTCTCTCAGATACGTTATTACTGGGAGGTACGTTTTCCCAACTTTATTAAAGCAATAGTGGCCCCCGCCCTCACTTCGCTTCGGTGTAGCGCTGTAATGTAGGCTATAGTTTTTGTTCTCAGGCTTGTATTATACACTAATAATATAATAATATTTTTTCCATGAAAATTTATTTAACTGATAGTGAACATTTTGTTGCGTAGTTTAGGACCCGTTTAGTGGTACCGAATGCACCATTTTTTTGGTAGAACGCGCAATACTCACTACTAATGTTCCGATTTGAAAAAATATTTTTGTGTTAGATAGTGTATTTATTGAGGAAGGCTTAAACCTATAATGCGATTCAACTAAGAATAGGATCGACTGGGTGCCATTTTGTGATGTCAAAGCTGTCAATTGAAACAAAATAGGTAGAGTGAGCAATAAAAGTTTTTCTTCGTTAAAACTTATTTACTAAGATTAAGTGAGATAAAACATCAGATTTTATTAATAAAATTTATTTACTAAGATTGAGAAAAAAAAACACCGATTTTTAATAACATTAATGTGTGAGTAAAATTATTGATCAGAATCTAGCTCTTCAATTCCGCTCAGCTCTGCATAACTACCGGAGTTGTCATCGTCGTCATGTTTGTTTACAAATGTTTGGTTTTTTATTCTAGAATTAGCTGAGTGCTAAAAAAGAGTTCCAAGATTTTTTGACAATCGTACTTTTCAAGCGCCATTTGACAGATGGAGGTCATTGGCTTTCCTATTCTTATTTGAATCGCATTATATATAATATTACGCTGCAACCAGTAGGACCGGAGTATCGATGTAAAATGTTGCAAAAACGGGTAAAAATATTCCATTTGGGAGGTTCCGTTGTGTGTGCTGCGTAAATAATTAAAGTTACCCAAAACTCATGTATGACGGAATTGTTCCCCTTTAAAAGTTCTAAAACAAAGTCCAAGACATCATATGCCCATCTTTTAAATTTAACTCACTATAACCCTTTTCCTCAAATTAACGGGGGTAAAACCGCACCTTTAGTTGTGCGATAACTGTAATATGTAGTTAGAAATATGATATTCCGGACTTTTTTGTAGATGGATGAATGGTGGTAGATGTATGTCCTCTATAAAACTTTATTGTATCACTTTGCTCTATTGTTAATTACTTCTGCAGCGTAAGTGATATAAGGTTATTTTATGGTATTTTTTTCACACCCTGGGTTATATTATCGAAGTTTTCTTACGGAACACTAATTTTTTGAAAATACTGCCAATGCCGATGTTCATCAAGGATAATATAGGATTCTAAATGTGACAATCGATCTAGTAGTTTCGGAGCTTATTCAATACAAACTAACAATCAAATCTTTCCTGTTTATAATATTAGTATAGATAGATATAAGGTAATAATCCTTTATATAACTTTTGCCTTTTCACTACCGAATTATAGGAGCAAGAAGAAGATAAAAGCATGCAGATCGCGACACGTATGATAAATTCCACGTTGATGTACGGCTACGAATATTTGGGCAATACTGGAAGGCTTGTCGTTACTCCGCTCACAGATAGGTGTTTCAGGACCCTATTCGGTGCTTTACATTTGAACTTAGGTAGGAAGATCCTATTTGTCTTCTTACAGATTGTGTAATACTTTTTTGTCAATTATAAATACATTATCAACGTATAATATATACCTTCCTTGGTTTAAGGTGGTGCTCCTGAGGGTCCTGCAGGTACCGGTAAAACAGAAACAACCAAAGATTTAGCGAAGGCCGTTGCGAAACAGTGCGTAGTGTTCAATTGCTCCGATGGTCTCGACTATCTTGCGCTTGGAAAGTTCTTCAAGGTATGGCTGAATAACATACTTACCCACTTTTGAAAATAAATATAACTTTCATTTAAAGGTATGTTAATCGTTACTCTTACAATTTCCTTCCATACAATACTCGTACTTTCAGGAGTTTTATGGGGATTTGGTTATTACCTACAGCCTGATGTCGTTATATTTCGCAAAACTCTTTGTGTAGATTATAGTGTTTGCTATTTTTGTGTTACTAAGATCTCTGTTAAACTGCTCTCGACTCCAGGGTCTAGCATCCTGCGGTGCATGGTCATGCTTTGACGAGTTCAATCGCATCGATCTGGAAGTGCTATCAGTTGTAGCGCAGCAGATCCTCTCCATCCAGCGGGGAATCAACTCCGGCTCCACGGAGTTGTTGTTCGAAGGCACTCTGCTACAACTAGACAAATCCTGCGCCGTATTTATCACTATGAATCCTGGTTACGCAGGACGATCTGAACTACCGGACAATCTAAAGGTATTCTATTATTTACTGTTCCAAAGCACTTTCCTATAACTGGACAAATCGTGAGCCGTATCATTCATATCATCACTATGAACCATGGCTACGTGTTTCGTTCCGAACTACCGGACAATCTAAAGGTAGGGTCTAGCGTCATGCGATCCATGTTCGTATTTCGACGAGTTCAATCGCATCGACCAGTAGGGTTATTCGCTAATATTTTTTGACAGATGGAAGTGATAATCACCGGGCTATTTACTGATCAACTACTGCTTTATTATAACGCCACTAAGATACTTGTAATGAAATGCATCGATGGATATGCAATTTTCTCATTAGTTACATACTGTAAATATCAAAAAAGTTAGCGAACTGGCCTGCTGGAAGTGCTACCAGTGGTAGCGCAGCAGATCCTCTCCATCCAGCGGGGAATCAACTCTGGCTCCACGGAGTTGTTGTTCGAAGGAACTCTGCTACAACTTGACAAATCTTTCGCTGTATTAATCACTATGAATCCGGATTACGCGGGGCTATCTAGACTACCGGACAATCTAAAGGTATTATTTATGTAACTGCTGGTCATTATTTTGATATTACCACGTTCAACTTCCAAATTCTAAATATCGTTGTACTCTTACTCTTAAAAAAACCAGACCTAATTGATGTAAATTATTGTAAATTGGAATAATAATTCTTGCACATGCCAGTGTGTTTTAATTGGATGTAATTTATATTTTCATTTTGTATTCTAACAGGCGCTATTCCGTTCAGTAGCTATGATGGTACCAGATTACGTTCTCATCTCTGAGATAGAACTTTACGCTTTCGGCTATCTGAACGCAAAACCATTGGCAGTCAAGATTGTCGCCACCTACAAGCTGTGCTCAGAACAACTTTCATCACAGAGTCATTACGATTACGGTGGGTAAATCATGCTCCATCTAATATGTCTGTGTCTTGTCACTTATTCACCAATTTTCTTTTAGAATCGCGGATTTAAAATGGAAGTTCATAATTATCCTTAATAAGAACATTTATTGTACTCAAAAACTTGTCGAAATCATGACCATCCCTTTTCAAACTTTAGAATTGGGATCAAGGGACTAGGCTTTACCCCGGCAGTGGGGCAAATTAATAGGCTTTTTAATAATCATACGATTACATTATGTAAATTCTAATACCGCTATTTGGCATTTGCACATTTTCTACAGTATGCACCATCCCGCTGCAACATAGCCTAGCATTTCTATGATGTTATGGATTTTTTGCCAGTTTACCATAGCCAGAAGAAATCTCGATCTGAAAATGTCCAAACATATAATGGTTTTCCTAAATAGGTATGCGCGCTGTAAAATCAGTTCTACGAGCGGCCGGAGCATTGAAGCTGCGGTATCCAGATGAGGATGAGGATGTGATTCTTCTTCGCTCCATCAAGGACGTTAATTTGCCTAAATTCCTTGAGCATGACGTACCGTTATTCATGGTACGTATAACTATAGCAAAGCAAAGAAATATACAACATGTAATGAAGGATACATCGAGTCTCATCGTCACATATATTTTCAAACTGTTACTTTAATTTATTTTTCATTCCCGATAGAGCATGATAAGGTTAATATTGCTGCCAAATTTAGTTAGGCAAATACCAGCAATCTAACAAGTTTATTTTGATAGCAAACCTTCACATTACAGTAGCCAACTCTCGTTAATTTTTGTTAATGGTTTCAATTATTTGCAGGGTATTATTGGAGATTTGTTCCCGGGTCTACCACTTCCACCGGCTGGCTTGCCACATTTGGTAGCTTGCTTAAAGGAAGTATGCGTTCCACTTAACCTTCAAGTCAATGACTTCTTTATAGAAAAGGTAAGCAGTCTTATCATAAAATCTTTACGATTATTTAGCAAGGGTGTTCTGGATACGACATTACTTTAGAATTTTACAAAACAGGTACTACAACTGTATGAAATGATCTTAGTGCGGCATGGACTTATGTTGGTCGGATTGCCATTCTCTGGCAAGACAAAGTGCTATCACGCTCTTGGACATGCTTTAGGGTTGGTTCATGAAAAGGTATGAATAAAAATTATATTAAATTCTTGAAGTTATTGTTGTTGCTGATTTTGATCACCCTGGCCACCAAGGAAACGTTTGCTAAAGGCTATTGTTTTTGCTTCCGATACTAAATGATCTCTTCAAAGATAAGCTTAAACCTAATGCTGTTCGCTAACTCTTTATTCTTAAATTGTACTCATTTCTCATTAATCGACAACACCAGTATAATAAAACACTTTTTAAACAGTAAAGCGCGCCATTTATATAATTTTTCCATTATTTTTGACTATTCGGATCCTTTACAGGTTCCGTAGTCACAAGTCTTGGGAATCATTAAAAAGTGATTTATTAAATGATTGGTGTGCGCGAAAATATTAAAAAGAAAACAATAACAGTGGCTACCTCAGCGCTCATATTTAGTAGTTTTATGAATATCCGTTTATCATAACGTCCTTCTAATTTGTTCTTGAAACAGAAATTAATGGATGAGAACCCAGTAGAATGGACAGTGATAAACCCAAAGTCGATCACGATGGGGCAACTGTACGGACAGTTCGACCCCGTATCCCACGAGTGGTCTGATGGCATACTGGCCGTCAGTTACAGAGCATTTGCTGTTTCTACCAATGATAACAGGTGCGCATGAAATTCCACAGATTTAAGTCAATTATTCGTTTCTCCAAACCATGTTTCTTATTTAGTACGGTCAGTTCGACCCCGTATCACACGAGTGATTTGATGATATTCTGGCCGCCAATTACACAAGCGTTCGCTGTTTCTACCAATGATAGCAGGTTAGATGAAACTTTAAACATTTTAGTAAATATTTATCTTGCCTTATCAAACCATGTTTCTTATCAGGCGGAAGAGTCGAAAGGCATAATATTTATTAGGATGGCATTAAATGTTAAGCAATACAATTCACAAAACTTCTATCAGTATGGGTCTGTTACGGTTTAAAAAAAACTAATTTTTCCCAATTTAAACCCTACTGAAAGGATTAGTGCACATAGGAAATGTGTTTTAAAATTCTTTTCATCCCACCACCTCGGAAAGTGTAATTTTGCGCTTCGAAATCTGGCTGGAAAATTCTATTTTATTCGCTTGAGCGGCAAAGTAGATTTGAATTTAGAACATCACATATAATGAGTACTCAATATAATTGTAAATTCAAAACGTCATTAAACCTATTTAATGTAACCTCTATGGTGCCAAATTTATGATTAGAACTTTTTAAATTGTGAAAAAATTTAAATTTGGAACCTTCTTGGTTTCTTTGTTTTATTTGCGTGCTTCGCGCCATTCTAGTTTTTCACGTTTTATTGCTTAAATATTTTGTCATTATAAATTGTTTTCTTTTTCATTTTGTCATTTCCTCGCTGAGGTGGGATGAAAAGTTACGTATTGCACTCGAGTGGAAAGATTTTTCACCTTGTGCTCGTTTGTTTCCCTCGCTGACGCTCAGGATTCTAATTTAGAATCACTCGCTGCGCTCGTGATTCAACTTTAGAATCCTTCGCTTGCTCGGTCATCCAAATCGAGCACGCGGTTAAAAAGGAACTTTCCACTCTTGTATAATAAATAACTATTATTTTGCTCGTTGCCTAACTTGACCTCTTCTACCCAGGGGAAATTTTAGAAACATTTCTTACTAACAACACCGCCTAAAGGTAGTGTTATTTCACATTGTGATCTTCACAAGGTAGTCAGCTACCCATACTAATCTTCTACAAATTAGTATTTACATACAAAATAAATGTTTATAGAAAATGGCTAGTTTTCGACGGTCCTGTGGACGCTATATGGATTGAGAATCTGAATACAGTATTGGATGACAACAAGAAACTGTGCCTCATGAGCGGCGAGATTATCCAGTTGGCACCGACCACGAACCTGTTGTTCGAGCCGATGGACTTGGAAGCGGCTTCGCCAGCTACGGTACTGTAATAATTTCTTTTATCATGACCACAAGTTCTTTTTAAGCTAAGTATTTTTTGTTTTTTTTTTTTGTAAATGCTTAGTGATGATAATTTTATTTTTGTCATTTTTGAGGCCTTCTAGTTTCTTTGAAACACAAGTTATCGAAAAAAGAAGACATAGGGACATAGTAAGAGTAAAATTATATTTCATGTATGAAATTCAATTCTTTAGTGATAAAACTCAAGGAGGAATCAGTCGAGAACATTTGTATGGAAAAAACATTGCCCGCCTCCCCTCTTAATACTGAAAATACACTGGTTAGACAGATGGTTCAGTAGCTCTTAGACTATTAGATAAAACAAGGAGATGACTGTTTAGCTAAAAAAAATCTAAATTTCAATTTATTCTTACCGTTGTAAGGCCTATTTATTGTTTTGTAAATAATTTCTCGATCCTCATACGTAGGAATAACGGCGATATTTTCAATCAGATGTGTCCAAATATTTGCCTCGATTGTGTGTCGAATCAAATCCTGACAAGACTCCATTATACCTAATTATATATATAAAAGAAAAGATAATTTCACAGCCAAGTTAAATGTAACTTAGGTATCTCGTTGCGGCATGATCTACATGGAGCCCAAGGGTCTTGGGTGGAAGTGTTTGCTGGAGTCGTGGCTGAACACCCTGCCGCCGACCCTGCACAGCGTCAACCGGAACCTTATCCGGACGCTCTTCAACAGATTTATGTCACCGCTGCTGTGGCTTGTCGAACTTTCGGGAAAAGCTAAGGTATAAATAAACAAATAATTATTATTTCTTAAAAAATAGCCTACAGTCAAAGTAATTTGTTTAAATAGTTATGACTTAGGCACAATACAAATTTTATACAAACATTTGCCCCACCGGGATTCGGACCCAGGATTTCAGAGTATGCGACACCTTGAAATCTGGTGTGGATACATACCATACCATCCACCACGGAGGTCGTCAACTGATGTCAAATTGACGCTTTTCTTGATAGAAAACGAAAATTGCCTCCTTTCTTCTCCTCTTTATTCTGTGTTCCATTCATAAATTACCTATGCATTTTAGAAAAAGAAACAAACTGGGTCTTTTCGTGTTTCTGGATATTATATTTTGTAATAACTGGAGAACACGAAAAGAAGACAGAACAAGTAGGTATGTACACCCAAATCATGGTGTCGCATTTTTCTACTTTCGAATTTATCAAGAGTTGTAAGAAAATCGGCGTTATTGTACCTATTTTCAACTTTCAGCAAATGTATGTAACATCTCGAACCAACATGATGGTGTCGTGCATGAGATTGTTTGACTCGTTCATGGATGATTTCTACGATGAGAAGTACGTTGAGCAGATATCAGATTTGGATATAAGAGCTCAACTGGAGGTCAGTTTGAAATAAGATAAGATAATAATACTTTATTGCACAACAGTAACATAAAGAACACAAATAAAATACAAAACAAGGCAGTTGCACAAAGGGCGTTAAAAAAAGTTAAGACAAAGTTAAAAAAAGTTAAGACAAATTTCCTTATCGACTCCAAATTAATTTTTTTTCTGCCATCTAATCTTGAATTTTGTTTATTATTTAAGTATTTAAATTGCATTGAATAGTATTTGCGGCTATGTCAACTATTTTTAATTTAATATTTAGTGTCGTACTATAATCAAACCAACATTTACATTGATGGGGAAAAAAAACACTGTATTAATAGGTATAAGGTATATACATGTCTTTTCAGGGTGTCTTTTTCTTTTCTTGCATTTGGTCTGTTGGAGCTACTCTTGAAGCTGACAGTAGACCGAGATTCGATATGATGTTCAGAGGACTACTGGAAAAAGAATTCCCTGAATCTGTAAGCAATCCTATATTAAATTTATTGTAAGTGGATAGTTCCGTAGGCGTATAATATAGGTACTAAACAAAAAATTGATAAGACGACGGAATACCAATAATGTAAGTAGCTAATTGACATTTGATAACTAATCGTTAATAATTTTAATCAATATTTTTCAGGTTATAGAAAAATTAGGATATCCTAGAGAAATTACTAAACCAGAAAAACAGTACATATTCATGTTGCCTAAAGATGGACTTGTCTATGATTATCGATTTATCAAAGAGGTAATTACTGTTTTCTATAATGTTGAATATAGTAACATTATACCAAACATAACATATTACAAAGTCAGCTATTTTATAGTTTATGAAGAGCTAAGCTTCAATTTGATTACAAAGTTAGGCGGTAACATGTTGATAATATGTAATTAACGATAAATGTTTTATATTGTAAGCTTTAAAAAGTAGCTTTATAGATCAAGTTCAATAGCAGCTTAAATAAGGTTATTAATAGCTTACAATCCATACCACACCATACTATGTGGTGCTACATAGCCATAATATTTAACTACGCTAATCTTATTCAGGGTAAAGGCAAATGGAAGCCATGGTACGACGATGTAGTGTCAGCGCCGCCGATCAGTAGAGATACTCCACCGAACCAGATCCTAGTTACAACCCTTGACAGCGTTCGTTACCTGGCTCTCTTCAAACTGTTGGTCACCCATCACAAGGCCGTCATGATGGTCGGACCCACAGGCACCGGGAAATCTTCGTACATCATTGTAACTCGCCAATTTTATCTATACAGAAGACCTGCGGTAATCGGACAAATGCTTTGCTGGGCGATGGCGAATTATCTCGGATGACTTCAATAAATGTTTATAAAGCGCCATTTATGTTGCCAGCAATAATGGTGTTTTAGTGGTGGAGTTTGGTTTAGTGTTAGTTTTTGTGGTTTTGCTTTGCGTTTTGGAAATGTTAGCCACTGGTTTAAATTTTTATATGTTTTATTCATCCTGGTATTCATGATTTGGTTATCCGTGTCAATAGCTCTTCGGTTGTCCGTTTTGTCGTTAGCTGTTTTCGTCGTTGTATTTTCAGTCGAGGTTGGTTTTTTTTTGTAGAACTCGCCATGGAATTCCTACGAGTAAGGGCGGTATATTTTTACTCCCCTGGGTGACGCCTTTTCCGCGGGAGTGGATATACCTAGTCAGGTCATAAATTCTGTCACATGTTTAATATAAAATAATTCAAACAAGTTTATTCAATAAGTAACCATTTATATACCAAAATGAACTTAACAAAACATAGATTCTTATGACGATAAAGTTTATTCAAAATGACCTCCGTGATTTTGAATACAGGCCTTCAATCTGCGCGGCCAGACGTCTATCGCAGCACGAACGAGGTCCATGTCAATATCGGCGGCTGCCTTAATTAAGGATGTCTTGAGTGACTCCAAATTGGGATGAGGCTTTGAGCACGCCTTTTCCTCCAAGTATTGCCATATCTTGTAATCTAACGGACTCAAATCTGGACTGGAGGAGGGCCAGTCTTCGTGCCGGATGAAGTCGATTTCACACGCCGCCAGCCAGTCTTGTGTGCTTTTCGCTCTATGAGCTGGCGCCGAATCTTGTTGGTATACCCAGTGCCTGTTATTGAACATGGTATGAGAAACAGGTTCCACAAGGTTCGTCAGGACTGTATTTTGATACACAACTGCATTCGTTTTTACACCTTTCTCACAAAAATGTACCTCTGTTAAGCCCCAATAAGAAACTCCCAACCATACCATGAGCGAGGATGGAACATATTCCATCCTCGCTCATGGTATGGTCGCAACGAGGTCATAACCTCGTTGGACACGCGGAATACGGCTGCTCGCTTCTTCACTACTGTGTGCGTGCACCTTATCATTTTGTTTGTTGTAGTTCTCTTCTACGGTAAAATTTTTTTCATCCGAATAAAGAATTTCCCGATATTTTTTCCCGCGTACCGCTTCAACAAAGCACGGCATCTCTTCAGTCTCAGGTCCATTAGACGAGCATTTAAACGATGCCCTGTTTTTCTTCGATATGCCCGAAGCCCTAAGTCTTCATTTAACACCCTTTTCACCGTGGTTCTGCTTAACCCCATCTGAAGGGCCAACAGTTTCTGCTTACGTTTGGGATTTCTTTGAATTCGCGCCTTGACAGCTTTTATCACTGCTGGAGTCCTAACAGACCGAGGGCGACCACTCCTTGACCTGTCATCTACACTAAAGTATTCATTGTATCGTTTGATGGTACGATAAATGAATCTTTTGGTTATATTAAATTTTTCAGTGTGTCAAAAATTTGAATTGGCGCGTAACTGCAATGATGCAACGCAATAACTGCAACACGGTCTTCTTTAAGCGTCCACTTCATATTTAAAAATGAGTAAAAATCTAAAAAGTATACATTTTTATTTTCATGAACAATCCGAAATTCGAATTCAATAAACTTTTTTGTGGCCAGCATTCTAAAAGAAAAGTTTTTACTGTGTGACAATACTTATGACCTGACTGTATAGTGTATACTGCGGAAGTCGCATGGTATCCACAGGTTTTAATCGAGTTTTCTCTCGGGTTTCATAGACCTTTCCTTGTCGCAGCCAGCCGGTCAAGGTAAGTTCCCTTTCCTCCCCGGTGCCTCTGCTACGCAAGCTCGCTCACGCGGTCTGCTCACATGGCAACCTCTGGAGTCGTCCGCGTAGCGAAAGGCGCCTACCCCACAGCGCCAAACCGTGGGGATAGTTGCAAGGGCTTCAGGGACTGGCGCATGTCTCTTCCAGTACAACTCTTTCAGGTAGCACCTCTCAGCTCCCCTTTCGGGTTGCCGGTTACCACCGGGCAAATGTCACGTCGCGGCCCACCTCCGGGCAAACACCCTCGCCGAGGTTTTAAGGTGGTTGTAGAGCTTTCGGTAAGGAAAGGAGACGTCGATGTTGTTGGCAGCCAGGTCTTATTGGCAAGTAAGCGTGGTCCTTCCCCGCAAGTCAACAATTTAATTGTATGCAACAGTGTAAATGGCGCTTAAGTTTAACGTCAGCTCTTAATTTGACGACACTGTATGAAATAAAACGGGGAGAAAAAGCAGCCCAGCTGAGTTTCTTGCCGGTTCTTCTCAGTATAAGGTTTCACATGGTGCTTGTAAAAGCCGAACCTGAATGAAATGAGTTTTGTTTCTTTTTTTAATTTTCATCAATTTGACGCATAAAGTTCTACTAGACTCTAATGTTCTGGTTTTTTTTGTACCTCGTAATCCGATAAATTACAAATCCAAAATTCTATTTGAATTGATGTTTATGTATTTAGCAGTGATAGGCGCGTCGGATTACAGGGGAGGCATATTAGACCGGATCCAGATTACCACAGGTCTACTGTCATATCGTTTTTGTTCGTATAAATTCTTTGGACGTATCATCTTTATCTTATTTGTTTTCTTGTAGGACTTTTTGGTGAAAAGAGTGGACACGAAAGTTTACAAAGCACTCATAATGGCATTTTCCGCGCAAACAAACTGTAATCAGACTCAAGATATTATCATGGGAAAGTTAGACAAGAGGAGAAAAGGTAAGGACACTTCTGGGGAAAATTTCGTAAGACAAATATTTTCTTAATGTTGTATCTGGTTGGATATTTGTTTCTCTGTTATGTCCGTTTATTCGTAAAACTTTGGAAATGTGCCTTTAGAAACATTTAAGTGGAATGGAGTCGTATGCTTGGCCATCAATAAAAAATAAAAACGCTTCTATGTTTTTGAGAAATTATGATCTGTGGTTTATTGCATACTGTAAAGAGCTGAATGTTTTAGAATAGATTTATGGAATTGCCATACAATTTTAATTCTCGTCTCCTTGTATGTTACTATAATTATAGACGGATGATAGACGGAGACGAAATAACAGTATTGAATATATTATTGAATATCTAGTTACGCATTCCTCTGTCCCCAAAGTCTCGGAGTCTGCAGCAAGTGTGTTACGTAAATTAGAAACAATAAGGTAATTACTCAGTGTTTGTGTAAATAACAGATATTATAAATGAATGTTAGGAGTTTTCGGCCCTCCCATCGGATGCTACAGCGTTGTATTCGTGGATGATGTGAGCATGCCTCAAGCGGAAACTTATGGCGCACAGCCGCCCATAGAAGTGCTACGACAAGGCATCGATCTGGGACTGTGGTACGATAGAAAGACCAACGTCGCTATGCATCTTATTGATGTCCAGGTTAGTTTGTGAGTGATTGCAGCATGATGAAGACTGATACTTCCTATCCATCGAATTACTAAGCCTAGGAATTTACTTTTTATTTTCTTTAAGTAAAATTTATTTTTATTTTGTACGAACTTCTGCCCGTGGCTTTGAATTTTTTCAGTTCTTATTTCCATAAGAACATACTACAAAGTATTAAAAACAAAAATATATGGATGAAATCGATAAAGGCGTTCTCAAGTAACGTGACAAAGGCAAATATGTGATTTATTTGTATATGTATAATATATTACTGTGCCCTTTCAGTTCATGTGCGCTATGGGTAAACCGACACCTGGAGCTAAGCTTGTCACACCCCGATTCTCACGACATTTCTCATTTTTCTGCATCGATGAGTTCGATGACGACACATTGAAAGTCATCTTTGGGAGGATTATGTTGTGGCATCTAGATACAAGGTAACTTAAATATTTATATTTTGATCGATAAGTTGAATTGTGATTCGATGCTTATTCGCCATAAAAATATTTTCAGAGGATTTTCTAAAGATTTCGACCCATGTATTGAAGAATTAGTGTCTGGAACGTTGGAAGTGTACAAACAGTGCCGATTAAATTTACTACCAACGCCATCCAAATCACATTACACATTCAATTTGCGAGACTTTTCCAGAGTTATATTGGTTTGTATTTTTGTAATTATGTATTTTTTATCATAAGTTATATCGAAAGGATTCTCTAGATCCCGGACCTGTGACATATTAGACAGTTAGACAGCTGAATATAGATTTTATAAAGATGATGGATCATAAAGATATCAGCTTAAAAATACATGCTATGAAATTTATATAAAATAAGATAAGCTAAATTTATTCCTTTAAAAAACTTAATATTAATACATTAACTTATTTTTTTATTTACATTTATATCTCATTGATATTAGAGATTTACGATAATATTTTTATAATTTCTTCTAGGGTGTACTTTTGTCGGTACCAGAAGTTACACCCGACCTACAGTCCATCAAGCGTCTCTGGGTGCACGAGTGTTTACGCGTATTCTCTGATCGGTTGGTGGAAGACACTGATAGGCAGTGGCTGGTGAAATGCCTTCGAGAGGCCACAGCCTCATATCTCAACGACGATTTCGACAAGATGCTATCACGGCTGCTCGAAGGACCAGATGACAAGGAGGTGAATAAACTTAGACTAAATATTAAGAAGACGCCGACACACAGTGGCTGGTAAAATGCCTACGAGAGGCCACTGCCTCATATATCAACGGCGACTTCGACAAGATGCTAACTCAGCTGCTCGAAGGGCCAGATGACAAGGAGGTGAATAAACTTAGGCTAAATTAATAGGAAGATGCCCACAGGCAGTGGTTGGTGGAACGCTTACGAGAAGCTAAGGCTTCATATCTCAACTACGACTTCGACTAATTGCTATCACGGCTGCTCGACGACAAGATGAGAAAAGAGGTTAATAAACTAAACTTAGACTAAATTAATACAAAGACGCCCACAGACAGTGGCTGGTAAAATGCTTACGAGAGGCTAATTAAGATTCCTACGTAATTAATATTAAACAGGGGGGAGGTCGATGGAGTATTCTTATTATTTCTTACGTAGGGGGGAGGGGGTGAAACAGTCTTACGTAATAACATGCAGTACTATATTGTAAACACAATAATCAAAGACTAGCATCTTGTGTCTTTGAAACGAAATAAAATTAAAAAAACAGGGTTAATCAAAATACTCTTAGAAAAAAGAATTACGAACTTCTTAGACATGGAGTATCTCTCTGTAGTCTACTATATTGCAATGAAATGTATATCACCCCTATTTACAATTATTTATTCTAGGTCAATCCAAAAAACAGTAAATTCAAATATTTTTGTAATTTGTTTCTAGATTACTGATCTTCATCTTCGTAAACTTATCTATTGCGATTTTGCCAATCCCAAAGTTGATACTCGCTTCTATATGGAGACAACAAATATGGAACATTTGAATTCTACCGTGGATGCCTTTTTGGTAGAGTTCAATAATATGTCAAAGAAACCTATGAACCTTGTGCTTTTTAGGTAACTTGTTCGAAATGTAGTCTGTTTTTATTTTGTCAGTATTGGACGTCTGCTATGTAATGATGTATTTATTTTATAGATTTGCCATTGAACATGTGTCTCGAATTTGCCGCATACTTACACAGCCGATGTCGCATGCACTTTTAGTAGGGCTTGGTGGTTCCGGAAGGCAGTCGCTAACTCGTTTGGCAGCTCATATTAATGAGTATGACCTATTCCAGGTGAGTTAATATCATCAAACTTACTGTTATAGTATTAGTATTAAAAAAAGGGATATAATAAAATTTGTATTTCTTTCCAGGTGGAAATGAGCCGAACTTACGGAAAAACCGAATGGCGTGAAGATTTGAAGACATTATTGCGAAAATCGAGTACTCCAGATTTAATGATGGTGTTCTTATTTATAGAATCACAGGTGAGTTTTAATTAAGTTCTTCGCCTTAATATAATGTTATTGTCAGTTGTTTTGTATATTGTTAATATTTGTTCTATCTCGTCAATATAGCGTTACGTTCTGGAAATGGCAATGAATATTGAAATTCTCCTTTTAGATCAAAGAAGAAGGTTTCCTGGAAGATGTGAATAACATGTTGAATTCAGGTGAAGTGCCTAATATATTTGGTGCTGACGAAAAAGCGGAGCTTTGTGAAAAAATGCGCGTCGTGAGTATTTGCATCCTAGTCTTTATAAATTATTTACTCAGCAGTTGCTTCTTAAACAAAGTTTTAAGGTTTGTTAAGTTTACTTTGTTTAAATTTTCATAGGTACTAACATTAAAGTAATTTTTCTTATTAGCGGGATTGCTACCATGTACCTTGTTTTTTACGAGTCCCTGATATTTTTGCGCTGTTACAAGCGCCATGATTACGGAGTAACTTTGTTTAGTTATTAATTATTCCATCAATTATTATCTCCTAGATCGATAGACAACGCGATAAATCACTACAAACTGACGGTAGTCCTACCGCCTTGTACGCGTACTTCGTATCAATAGTTCGGGACCAACTACATATTGTTCTGGCCATGTCGCCCGCTGGTACTTCCTTACGTACAAGAATCCGGAAGTTTCCATCGCTAGTCAACTGTTGCACTATCGACTGGTTCCAGGTAAATTTTAACCGTGTTTATTTGATAAAAAGCAAACACAATAATATATTAACGAACTGAGAATCTTCTGAAAAATGTCGTTCGTCTGATGAATATCATATCCAGACCGTATATAAAGACATTCGCTATACATCAGAAGTATCATTTGTAATTTGATTACCTTAAACCCACTGCTTCATAATGAAAATAATTTAATATATAAATCTATCGATGTACTTCGTATATATACGTACACCTTTTAAAACCCCAATATCATTAATCAAAAGTTTCTATCGAAAAATAAAGTCATGTATTTATACAAATTCGTCTGAACTTCTAAACAGCAGAGTTTTTATATTTTACGTTCCCTCGACAAGATCCAAAATTTACAATTAGTACCATTCATATAGGAATGGCCGCCAGACGCTTTGCTGGCCGTGGCGACCCGTTTCCTTAAAGAAATTGAGCTGACAGACTTGGAACGCAATACCGCCATCAAGCTCTGCCAGATGTTCCACACCGATACCCAGGAACTCTCGCGGCAATTCTTGCTACGTCTCAAGCGATATAATTACGTTACTCCCACTGCTTACTTGGAACTCATCAATATGTTCAAATCGCTGCTGGGCAAGAAACGCACGTGAGTATGAAATTTCAGCATTTAACACGTTTTAATACTATTGTTTTTATTTCTATGATTATTTTCTGTTTAGTCACAAGTGTGTTTTTGTGATTTGTTTGTTCAGCTTAAGCTCACTTATACAATTTTTGCTAAACTAAAATGTTCAGAATTTTGTTGCCGTTTTAAACTATTGTCTATAATAAAATTATAGTACAGTATGATAGACAAATTAGTTAGTATATAAAAAAAACAAGAAATAGAAATCGGTATAACGTCATCTATTCTATTCTAACTCAGTTTTTAATATTGTGGAGCAGGACAAGACACGAGAAGATGAAGTTTACTATATATCGATAATTGATTTTAAGACCTTGTTTTAAACGTAGTGAGTTGCTGACGAGTGAGAAGCGATACATTACTGGTTTAGACCAGTTGGCTATAGCAGCCAAATCAGTGGCGGCTCTCCAACAAGCGTTGGAAGTTTTACAACCCAAATTAGCCGCCGGTGCCGCTGCCGTGGCTGAAACCACTGCCAAAGTGGAGAAGGAGAAGGAAGGAGTAGCTTTAGTGGAGGCAGAAGTACTGGTCGATCAAGCAGCTGCCGAAGAACAGGTCAGTGGAATTTATCAAATGATAAAAACATTCCAGTGATTGGTAACATTGAGGAACTTAAGTCTTATAGTTTATCGATTTACCAAATTAGAGAAGGAGAAGGAAAGAGTGGCCTTAGTGGAGGCAGATGTTTTTGTCGATCAAGCGGCTGTTGAAGAACAGGTCAGTGGAATTTATAAAATTATAAAAATATATTCGAAAGTGATAGGTAGGTTACATTATGGAATTTGAGTCTTATAGTTATTCGATTTGACAAAGTAAAGAAGGAAAAGGAATGAGTAGCCTTAGTGGAAGCAGAAGTACTGGTCAATCAAGGGACTGCTGAGGAACAGGTCAGTGGAATTTATAAAAAAGTAAATACAATTGAAAGTGTCACATTCAGTCTAGACTAGTTATTATTTTAAAGCATATTATACGCATTCAGTTTTTATAATCACTACACGGGTTGTCTTGCTGTTTCCATAGTAGATTCGATCATCTTAGATTATTTTTACACCTTTCGTAAAAATAATCTAAGATGATCGAATCTACTATGGAAACAGCAAGACAACCCGTGTAGTGATTATAAAAACTGACTGATGTGGCGGAGGACTTTAGTGGTATATAAAATACGTGGGACACTCGGAAAGTTTTGAGAAGCTAAAAAACTAACTTCTTCGAAAAAAATATTTTTATTAAATCTTTCCAAAGAACTCTCCACCAATCTCTTTACAAAGTTTCATGCGTCTGTACCAATTTTCAAATCATTTTTTCCAGTCCTCCGCAGACAAATTTTCCACAGCCTTCTCAAACGCTGCTAGCACTTCTTGCGGCGATGAAAACTGTATCCCTTTGAGCTGCTTTTTTTTCTGGGAATAAAAAGAAATCGCACGGAGCCAAATCAGGACTGTAAGGAGGGTGTCCCAAGACTCTGACTGGTGTGGAGTCCAGGAAGTCCTTTGTTTTGATCGCAGAGTGCGCGGGCGCGTTGTCGTGGTGAAGAAGGACCCCGCGGAGCCCAGTATTAGGTCGCTTGTTGCTTATTACAGAAAAAACTTCTGGCAGGCATTTTATGCTATACCATTCGGCGTTGATGCTGCTATGGTCTCGAAGTGGAATTGAAATTAGGTACCCCGTCAAAGTAAAGAAACAAGCGTTCAAAATTTTTCCTGCGCTCCTTGATCGCTTCACTTTCGTAGGCGTTTTCGGTTCATTTTGAAACAGCCAAACTGTCGACTGACGCTTGTTTCTGGATCGTATTGATAAATCCAGGATTCGTGCCTTGTCACAATATGGTAAACGCGCCGTAACGAGCCTTATTAATTTTTTTGTATCATATCACTGCACCTATCTACACGGGCCTGCTTCTGAGCTTCGGTGAGGTTGAGCGACACCCAGCGGGATGGTTGCTTTTGAAGGTCCTTCATTCATAAAAGCAGTTCGAAATCGATCAAAAGACTCATGAGAGGGAAATTTTAAAATCGAATAGTGGTATTTATACTTTTAAATAATCGAAGTTTTTTAAATAATTACAAGTGGCCAGTGTCTTATACAAACTTTTTTTCGCAAAACTTTCTGATTGGCCTGGTATGTAGTAATTATAGATGCTGCTACGTAAAAAAAATAAGTATCCTTAGTTTCTCTGCACTTTAAAAACAGCTGTATTGGGATATGTACAGTACGGCTCATGTAAGAATATATTGATAATAACAGACGACAATGATTTTAATATTATTACTAGGCACAAGAAGCGCAAGCAATCAAAGATGAATGCGACGCCGATTTAGCGGAGGCAATGCCGATTCTAAACGCTGCGTTAGCGGCACTGGATACTCTCACTCCCCAGGACATTACCTTCATCAAAACCATGAAGAGTCCTCCCCGAGGAATCAAGCTGGTCATGGAAGCCATATGTATATTGAAGGTATAGTAGGATAAGAATGAATAAAAAATATGGTCATAATTTAGCAGTTAAAGATCACAGTTGTGTAATACTAAGTAGGTATTACACAACTGTGATCTTAGTTGCATTAGTGGCATTTTAATATGTTAATAAATTGATTTGACTTATCATGAATACGAGGACGTAGTATTGCTTACATTTGTAACTTTGCTGATCTGGAACTATTTTTTACGTATAGAAGAAGAATAAGACAAAGGACGATTGTAAGCACGATATAATTCTTTAATGTAGTTTCTTTACCGCTTTATGGGAAAAGTTAAGGTGTATACCTTAAGAACCATTACACGGGGTTTGCTTAGTAGTTGTTTATAATAATTAATTGTTGCTGCATTCTAATAACATGTAACCTATTTTTATGCATTAACTCGTAAGGATGATCCGGTAAGTCAACCTTTTTTTCTTCGTTCAAAACAAAATATTATTTTTGTATAGTATTATGTACTTATTGTCTTTAAATCATTATAATTTGTTTTCTTCGTAAATGCAATTGTAAATATTTAAGAACCTAAACATATTTTAATCATTTGGGCGAATTCTTATATCATCCTAAATCAGTACTCATCATAAATATTGATTAAGAGACCAGTATTTTAATTATCTGACCTGACGTACCTAAACTGAGAGAATTTCCAATATACTACCCTACATAACAATTTATTGAATATTTTCTACAGGAAATGAAGCCTGATAAGATCCCAAATCCATCAGGAGTTGGTACAATAGAAGACTATTGGGGTCCGTCAAAGAAACTTCTAAACGACATTAAATTCCTCGAAGGGCTACAGAACTATGACAAAGATAATATCCCGCCGGCGGTCATGAAGAAGTTGATGACGACAGTGATGCAAGATGACGGTTTTGTGCCGGAAAAGATCAGAACTGTATCAGTTGCGGCTGAAGGTAAATTTGTAATTTGTTGTGAAATTCTTTAACAATGTTTTGTTTTTTTGTCGTTAAATCCTAATAATATTATAAATGTGAATGTTTGTAAGTTTGTATGTTTGTTACTCAATCACGGTAAAACTACTGAAAGCGAAGTATTTGGATACTTTTTATCCTAGAAAATGTCAGGTTTCTGTGGGGTTCCCAAAAAACCAAAGTTGATGCGGACGAAGTCGTAGGCGGCCGCTAGTATCTTAAATATATTCCGAAACTTAAGTTTTGTTGCGCTTGATTAAGAAATTGATAACTAATCGGGTAAGTGTCATTATAATGACTGGCTTATATTATTTTACTCTTAAGTAGAGTGCTTTAGAAATCTCATTTTTTTAGGTACTTGCTTTACTTCACTTGCACGTGTACTTAAATATTAAAGCGTTTTCCTTCCTAGTAGTACTCAAATATTCTCCCTAAAGACAGGAATAATGTAATCCGGCCGTTAGAAATGTACCAACAAATAATTTTCGTTATTTTTGGTATTATTGATGACGTTTATAAAACTCGAAGTAACATGATATAATACAATATAAAAATTCTGTTTAGGCATGTGTAAGTGGGTCATTGCAATGACGAAGTATGACAAAGTGGCAAAGGTGGTAGCGCCGAAAAAACAAAGATTAGCAGCGGCCCAAGCAGTTTATGACAAGGCTATGGCAGCACTTGCTATCAAGCAAGCTCAACTGAAAGAGGTGAGTCATTGGCGAGACAAAAACGGACTGCTGAGTTAATAGAAATTAACGGACCGAAAACCCGTGCTATTGTAAGAGCCTTTACTAGACACTGCAAACTGAACAGACACCAATTCCATATGAAATTCACGTCATATCCACGTGATATCCACGTCATCAATAATAGGCCAAAATTCGCCATTTGGTGGTTCTGGATAACCCTAATTGTTGAGAACGTCGCGGAATTGACAAATTTGGATTTGCCTCAACACTGTGGCTCACGGCTGCCATGCTTTCAGTTGAACGACCCGGTCGAATACGTCAAATTCTTAATAGCGGTCTCAGATGGACGATTATGTTGCCCAAAAATATTACGAATTTGACAAAATGTAACTGTTACAGAACCACTATTTTCATAGTGAATTTTAATTATTTTAATTCGATTTTCAAGCGAAATTGAATTCATTGTATCAATTGCCAATGAATCTTCTACGAATACGTCAAAAAACTAAATGTGAAAACTATCATGTTGTTGGTGTAGACACAATTGAAAAACAAAGTTCTTGTTGACCCTATATTTTTGTAGCTTCGCAAGATTTTTAAATTGGGATATAGTTATTTAGTATATCAAATGACTTACTAAAGTCATCGCTTCTATAATCGGAAAAATCTTATATGTTTATTGGTCATCTAGGTACAATTAAAATTGGCTAAACTGGAGTCTGCACTAGCTGAGCAAAGTAGACAACAAAAACTGCTAGATGATGAAGTCATGGATTGCAGCAACAAATTGAAACGTGCAGAAATGCTAATCTCTGGGCTCGGTGGAGAAAAAACTAGATGGACCCAAATAGCAAAGGACCTCAGGACAACTTACAATTCACTCACTGGTATATTGGGAATGCGTTTAAGTTGTAATAACTTAGCATTTTTTAAACTTGAATAGTTTTAATTTATCTTTTTATAATGTGGTATATTATCCTATCTATAGCATTGTGATTTTACGTGTTAAATTTCCAGGTGATATATTGATTGCTGCTGGAATCATTGCATATTTAGGACCATTTACAGCTATATTTAGACATGGACAAGTAAGTTAAGTATTTAACGATGTGTACTAATTTAGGAAATATTAAATACGTATTTTTAAAAGCTTATTAACATCCTTCGATTTATCTAGGTACAGAAATGGGCGAGAGCTTGTCATGACTGTGGAATCGTGTGCACTCTTAATTATAGTCTTATCAAATCTCTTGGAGAACCTGTCACCATTCAGCAGTGGAATATCGATGGCCTTCCTGCAGACGACTTCAGCGTTGAAAGCGCTATCATTATTATGTAAGGAATATTTTATTCTTAGGCAATGGCTTCATAAGCTTCAATCCAATATTATGGTATATTATCCGGACTGGCACCTAAGTTGAATGGCTTTTATTTCTAGTAAATTTTTCTTTAGATAAATCTAAAGAACAAAAATATTCTGGCTGTAAATCTATTTTTTTAATCGTTGTATATTAACAATAATGTTTCATAGTGTAAATTATATTTCACTGTCAAGCTTAATTTGGAAAAGAAAGAAACCATCATGAAAACTCTATTTTTAATATTTTTCCTTAAAGGACGGCACGTCGATGGCCTTTAATGATAGATCCTCAGGGGCAAGCAAACAGATGGATTAAGAACTTAGAGAAACCAAATAATTTGTGTATAGTCAGGTTAACTCAAGCTGATTTGGGACGAGTTTTGGAAAACGCTGTTCAATTCGGTCAACCAGTAAGCAAATATTTAATATTTGAAATAAACTGTGAAAATTAAGATAACTTAAAACTATAGCAATAGCGGTCTTGTTTATACACACATCAAAAGTGTCTAGGGATCAACATATATTTTTGCAATAACTTTTCTCCTGATTGATATTAATTAAAATTTTCTTTAAGGATTCATCAAATAAAGTGTTTTCGTTTGTCACAGTAACGATAAACCAAGTCACCTTTGCATTAATAAAGAAATTTGCCATTTTCCTAATAAAGGGATTTTTGACATTTGAACCACTAACACAAAAGTTCGAAAAAAAGACTGAAATAACAGTTTTCTCTAAAATTTTATTGGGTAACTTAAACAATTAATAATCCGTATTTCTACCGCGAACACTAACAACACAAGAACATCGGTTTGGCATACTCAAAATGAGTTCATCCAAATCACGCTGTGGAATGGCCGCCCATGTTCGTTGCAACAACAAAAAAAGGTCTTCTTGCGACTGGATACCCTCCATATTCGGCAGAGCTCTTCTCTGTAGCATATCCCATGCATGCTCAATCGGGTTCAAGTCTGGCGACTGAGCAGGCCAGGGCAGGACATTGATGTTAGCTGCGGCGAGAGTCTGTCTTACAACTCTTGCGGTGTGCGGTCGTGCATTATCATGCATTAACTGAAATAAGGGACCGATTTGCACTTGTAGAGGAACGATGACGTCTGATACAATCGTCTCAGCATAAATTTGAGCGTTGAGGTTGCCTCTGATCCAAATCAACTCAGTTCTTCCGCCGATCCAAATACCCGCCCATACCATGATGGTTCCACCACTATAAGGATGGACTTCCTGGCAGGATTTTAATCGCTGTTGGCGTCCAGGGGTTCTCCAGTGTCGTATACGTCTTGTATCCGGTCTCATACCAAAACGAGACTCATCAGAAAAGCACACGAAACGCCATTGTTCTTCTGCCCAATTTCTGTGTTCAAGAGCCCATTGATATCGAATCCTACGATTGTGCATTGCTATAGGTGGTACCCGTAGCGGTCTTCGGGAATGAAGGTTCACTTCATGCAAGCGGTTTCTGACTGTTTGGTCGCTAATTAAGTTCCCTGAAGAGTGATGAAGCCTCACGGCTAACATCATGGCGGTTATTGTTGGAGCTCTTCGAGTTAAGATTTGAATGTATCGGTCTTGTCTCCGTGTGGTGCAGCGATACCGTCCTCCATGGCGCTCAGCCACGGTACCAGTGCTTCGGTATCGTGTCCAAAGTCGACTGTTAACACTCTGACTTGTATTCAGAGCTAAAGCCACAGTACGTTCCCGGGAACCAGCTTCTATCATTCCCACGGCTCTGAGCATTTCTTCCCTGCTTAAATGACGTCGCCGCTCCATAATAACGTTGGTTTTAATCAGTAGTAGGGAAACAGTAGCACTAATAATGTCTTCAATGCGTTGTATGTTTTTATAGGGAAAATATTGACAGCTGATTTTCATCTTTTACTCGAATTTGATTCACAGTTCCTGATTCAAATTATGAAATGCACCAAAAAGGATCCATATTAATTTATAAAATCATAAATTTATTACAAAGCCACATCTCAATCTCAAGAAATCCGCATAAAAATGCTTGATCCCTAGACACTTTTGATGTGTGTATTTACGTTTATGGACAATTAAATCTTCTAGGTGTTATTGGAAAATGTTCTTGAAGAATTAGACCCCATGTTGGAGCCTTTACTACAACAACAGACATTCCGACAAGGTGGTGCTCTTTGTATCAAAATTGGTGATACTATTGTGGAATATAGCAAAGAGTTTAAGTAAGTCTGTTTAAATTTGAAAATAAATATTAACTGCATAATCGAAATGAAAAATAATGAAACCCTATTTTTAATTGGCAGATTGTATATAAGTACAAAACTTGCAAATCCGCATTACCTGCCTGAAGTGGGTGTGCGTGTAACTTTAGTGAACTTTATGTTGGCCAAAGATGGCCTTCAAGCACAGTTATTGGCAAGAGTAGTCGCTAGAGAGAGGCCAGATTTGCAGCAAGCCAAATCCGATTTAACCACACAAGGAGCTGAGCATAGACGACTATTGCAAGAGATCGAGAAAAAGATTCTCAATGTCCTTTCTACTTCTGAACACTTGTTGGAAGATGAAGAGGCTGTGCAGGTAAGTTAGATGATTGTATAATTAACATTATTTTCTAATAGAGGAAAACCTTCTTAAAGAGAAATATATTACATGTATAATAGTTACTGTTTTCAATTATATACACGCCTAGATACCGTATTAACTTCACGGAAGCGGTCCAAAAATACCTACAACTTATGCTAGATATGATCGTCGCTTCACACGTACACATTGACTGCTTTTAAACAATCTGATATTAGATTCACGTACACATTGGGTGGTTTATTTGGATTGCTCTATCTAGGCATGTAAATAATCAAAGGTTACTGTTGAATTTATAGTTACTAAAATAATTGAAATTCAATTCGAATTCAAACTCTGTGCTTAGATCCTGAATTCAGCAAAAGACACATCGAATGAGATCAAAGAGAAACAAGAAGTTGCGATGGTCACTGAAAAGGCTATTGATGAAGCCCGAGATGCCTATGTTCCTATAGCTGTACATTCTACAAATTTATTCTTCTTGATTGGTAACGATAGATTAAAAGCTTATGACGTACATTATTTTTGTTTAAGTAATTTGCTTTAATCAATTTTGAATTCCAGCATCGCTATCAAACATTGATCCTATGTATCAGTATTCGCTTGGTTGGTTCGAAGGATTATTTACGGCGGCTATTGATAACACGGAGAAAGTGGACGAAATACCTGAACGATTGACTATATTGCGCACTTATTTCACTTACTCTCTATACGCCAATATCTGTAGGAGTTTGTTCGAAAAGGTTAATAGATCTACACATTTTCACTACAAAAACATTTATATTTCTTCTTTTTCAAATTGGGTATTTTTTGTAATATATTTAACCATAATATGTATTCTTAATATTTTTACCCGAATTATTAAATGTTGCTTCTTTTGTTGTTAGGACAAGTTAGTTTTCTCGCTTCTACTGACTATCACAATCATGGTGGCAGAAGGTCATCTAGATCAGAACGACGTCCTATTCCTGATGGGTGGTGCACAACCACGCCATGTATTACCTAATCCAGTAACTTTCCTGAGTCCGCAAAATTGGGCTGAACTGAATGGGTAAGAACTACCATTATTTTCTTTGAACCTAGAATTGTATATGTTTAAAAAAATAGACGATAAATATTTCCAAATAACTGAGACATTTTTGTACATGCCATCGTGTTGAATATAATATTAATTATCATAATAAAATAATAAGTGTAATTTCATGTTTTTAATTTTTTCTACATACACAGTCTCAATGAAATACAAAAATTCCACGGTATACTTGATCACTTCCTTGCCAACATTCCTGCTTGGGAGAAATATTGTGATTCATCAGATCCTCAAAATCAACCGCTCCCTGAACCTTGGAACACGAAACTTGACGCTTTTGAGGTATAAATTATAATATGTAAAATTTGTAATAGACAAAAAAGTATTTGGTATTTATAATTATATACATAATTATATAAAATTACTGAAAATGTATATTATAATTATGTATTATATAGATAATTATAATATACATTTTGCATATTTAAGTTTAAGCTTTTTCCGATCATATTTTTCAAACTTGTTAATTTTGGATTGTCAACTGAAAGTGTGATTGTATTATATTTTTGAAAACAGACGATTTAGAAGTTTAACCTAATAAAAATTTTCAGAAACTTTTGGTACTCAGATGTATGCGATTTGATATGATGGTTCCGGGTGTGCAAAACTTTTGCGAAGGTTGGTTAAATTTTGTGTTTTAAACTTTGTAATCTTAATTATTTTTATGGGTTTATAATATTTATAATAACTGTTTTAGCTAAAATGGGCCGTCAATTTGTGGAGCCACCTTTATTCGACCTCGCATCATCTTATGCCGATTCTCATTGCTGTATACCACTATTGTTTGTGTTAACCCCAGGGTCAGATCCTATGGGGACATTACTGAAATTTGCTGATGACCAGGCAAGTGAAGAATAAAATCTGTATAAGACTGGGCGCACATGTTTGGTTTCCTGAAACGGTTTTCTGAACAGGAATTCCGATTCGGAAACCTGAATGAACGTTCTTACATACAAAATGTTCAAAGCGGTGCACACTGTTCTTATTTTTTTAGAATGGAAAAAATCTAACGTTTGGTTCGGTATCGGTTCCGTATCGGAATTCTGGATCAGTAAACCGAATCGAGAAACCGTACCTGTGCACCCAGTCTAAGATCATCATTCTATTTGTAAAAGGAAACAAATTAATCCTTAATGCTATTCCAAATATATATAACATATATTTAATGTTATTGATGTTATACAATTGAAGTTATTGTAGTGAATAATTACTGTGATCAAATTTACAGGGTTTCGGTTCGTCAAGACTATTCTCACTTTCACTAGGACAAGGACAAGGACCAATAGCTGTGAAATTGATTGACGAAGGTGTCCGCAGCGGCACTTGGGTAGTTCTGCAGAATTGCCACTTGGCAAAAAGTTGGATGCCTATGCTTGAGAAGGTGATTAATTCGATTCATATCATCGATAGGTGATTTAATTCTGAAATTTGATTGTTCTCCTTTTTTCCTTACATTAGATTTGTGAGGGCTTAACTCCTGATTCAACTCATCCAGACTTCAGATTGTGGTTAACGTCGTACCCGGCCGATCACTTTCCCGTGTACGTGCTACAAAACGGAGTTAAAATGACGAATGAGCCCCCGCAAGGTACAAACGTTATTAAAGATAGAACATTTCAAAATGAAATTTCTGGATGAGTTTTATTATTGATATGAATTATTTGAAGGTCTTCGCGCGAACATCGCTCGGTCGTACCAAAGCGATCCTATCAATGATCCCGAGTGGTTCGAGGGCAACAAGCAGCCGGCGAACTTTAAGAAACTATTGTTCGCGTTATGCTTCTTCCATGCAGTGGTGCAAGAGCGCCGCCAGTTCGGTCCGCTTGGCTGGAACATCCGCTATGAATTCAATGAGACTGATTTGCGTATTAGCGTTACCCAGCTCTATATGTTCCTCAATGAATACGAGGTAAGATTTAAAAAAACTACGTTTAGATGGCAAATATTTGATTCATTTTTGACATTATATTGCACAAACTTTTCAGTCACTGTCACTGCCAATGATAGCTTCTTTGATTTTTGGTCGCAGTTTTCCACCTTTGTCTTTTATAAGCTAGTGTGTGATTTATAAAATGCTCCACCAACTTGTTTCTCTGAACTGAGTGTAGTACCTTATACGAGATAGCCGTTCATAGGTTGACCATTTCCATGCTAATGTTAGGTACAGATACATCGCCATTATTAAGCAAAGTTGATGTTATCAAATATTTATTTGTATTTTTTACGTTATTTGTCACTTGCGCCCTATCTATAGGACGTGCAATTCGTGGCGCTAAGGTATTTAACCGGTGAATGCAACTACGGTGGTCGCGTCACCGATGACTGGGATCGGCGCTGCCTCAACACGATCCTGTACAAGTTCTACAACCCGCGTGCCATCTACGAAGATAAATATCCCTTGGAACCCACAGGTTTAGTTCACGATTCTTGAAAGGTATTACGCAGGACTTGAACGAAAAGCTAACTTATAGCGAAATCAAAAAACGGATACTTTTGATCAGAACACACATCATGACAGAGTATTAAAGGCACCACTAAACCTATTACCTCGCTCGTCATCAATGCGTCACCGCTCTTGGCATAAGTTAGGTTTTAAATATTGTCGCCACAATATGTTTGTAATAAATTACTCTGTCTGTACTATTCATAGAATTTTACTGTTATTGTTATTTCTTATATAAATTCAACGTAACAACGTAAGTGAATGTAATTCCTTGAATGTAGAGGTGTACTACATCCCGACGTTGCGAGAGCATTCGGACTTCATAAACTTCGCGCGGTCGCTGCCGGTGGCTACGCCGCCGGGCGTATTCGGCTTCCACCCCAACGCTGACATCACCAAACACTTCAGAGAAGCTGGAGAACTACTGGACACAGCTATACTGACGCAGGTAATTATGAACCGACTACATAAGCTTCACGCAGTTGTTGCCGGTTGTTCGGCTACTACCACAATGCTGACATCATCAAATAATTCCGCGAGGCTGGAGACCTGCTAAACAAAGTCATACATACCGATGCGGGTAATAATGTACCGACTTCATAAGCTTCGCGCGGTTGCTGCCGGTTGTTCGGTTTACACCCTAACGCTGACATCACCAAACACTCCAGAGAAGCTGGAGAACTGCTAGACACAGTCATTCTGACGCGGATTATTATGTAAATATCTTCATAAACTTCGTGCGATCACTGCCGGTTGTTCAGCCTCCATCCCAACGCTGACATCAGCAAACACTGGCGAACTATTAGAGCTCGATGGCGCAGGTGGTAAGCCCGGTTGGCCTGCGATCGTAGAAGTTAAGCAATTTTCGCAATGGTCGGTCTTTGGATAGGTGACCAAAAACTTATTATCTCGAGCTCCAATGTGCTACGGAAGGCACATTAAGCCGTTGGTCCTGGCTGCATCTGCAGTCGTTTAGCGCCCACCAATCCGCTCAGGGCCCGCGTGGTGGGTCACGTCCCAATTTTCCTATTCCATCCATAGGGAAGACCTGTACCCCAGCGGTGGGAACATTAAAAGGCTGATGATGTTGATGATAAAGACGCAAGTAATTATGTATGTACCGTAGCATCTGTTAACCAAATTCAGAGAGGGTGGGTAAAGACCAAACCACTTATAAGTTTTCTTGATATATTTTTTAAACATTACGATGCAATAATCCACTGATTTAGTTATTAACAATTTTAGCGCAGTAACAATATTTGCATATGTTATTCATTTGAAAATCTGCCAAAGAATGTCCGCTCCACGCTGGATTGCTCGGCTGAACTTCTTTCGCTTCGAAAGCTTCAGTACCTTTTCTCCTTCTTTTAAATTAAATGACATTATTCAACAAATATTACAGTAATAAATTAAATATCATATTTTTTCATGTAAATTATTAATTAATCAGTAACGTAGTAAATAGTGAGGAAACAAATAAAGATAACCATAGATTAGTAAACTCTACGTCACATGGATAGGTTAAGCAACTTATTAACTATAACTATAGCTATAGCAAGGTAATTAAAGAAATAGCAAAACGCTTACACACCAAATCTGGGGTTGAGAGCATTCGTCATAACCATAACTTTATTTAATATAAAATTTACTCTGCCTTAGAACACTTTAACCCGATGAATATTATAGATGAATTTTGGCATAGAAGGGAAACATAATGAAAATAAAGAGGAGAAGAACATAGGATGTCTGTTATAACGATATCTAAATTTAGAGATTTGAAATATGGGATAAAAGATTGTTGGAAAGAACTAGTTGGAGTGATATTTATACCTTCGATTGTCGAGCTATGATGTCACGGCATGTAACGGGAAGATTTTTTATAATTATAGTTGATAAATTATTTAGCCAGAATCAGCAATACATTAAAACAGATGAAGAAGATAGATTGATATTGTCGCTTGTTCATTTAGTTTTGTAATTTTATATTTAATACCTTTGCAGTAGATTACTATACATCTGCAGTTTATCTAAATAGTTCAGGTAACGTACCCTTTTCAGGTTTATTAGTGTTTGTTTTCTTTTCATAAGTATATTGACTAATATGAGGTTGTTTCATTACTAATAATAGTTTAATTAGTTATTTTCTTTCATTTTTCATGCCACGTTGTACTTCAGGACCGGATGGTAAGTCTAAATTTTTTGTAATTTAAAATAGTACCTATTTTTATCGACATAAACTTAGTTTTTAATTTGCTGTTTAAATACTTCCGGTTTGATTTCACAGTTTATTAAAGGTTAAATTCAAGAAATTCCTGCATAGCAATAAGGTCGCCTTTTAATGTTAACCGTTATTTTTTCATTTATTGTTTTTATTATAAGTTGTGTGTTATAAAGTACCAAAATTAAATTTTATTGAAATTACCGAAGACTGAGTTGCCGTTATTTGACTAGGTATGTACCTACTTTTCATAGTGTCTGTTGTATTCCGATAAAATTTCCATAAAATCATTAATATTTCATGCTTACAGGACCTTTTGAAACAATATTTGGTGAGTTATCGACAGTTTGGTAGAACAGGTGTTTGTCTTGATTGTTGCTTTTAGTGTCAGTTGCCTTCGCACGAGATATTACATCTGTTGAAATTGGCTTCGCATGAGTCGTGTGGTCATACATCTTTATATTGCACTAAACGTTATTCTCCATTAATTAATAACAATTTTGAGTGTCGTGTTTTGTTTCAGGACACAATGGTAGCGGGCGGTGCTGGTGCGACGCCTGAGCAGCAAGCAATGGCGATAGCCGAAGACGTTCTAGCTCGTCTCCCCGCCAATATATTGACAGGGCCATCGCATGAAGGCGATATCAAACCGGCAGACATGACGCCCATGTCCATCGTTGTGATACAGGAGGCGGCGCGATACGAACGATTGGTTAATGTCGTGCGAACAAGCTCGAGAGCTGTCATAGGCGCTGTGCAAGGTAGGTTATATTATGATATGGAATGTCGCATATAAAATATTGGTTTAAGTTATCAGCGTGTTATTATCCTAATCGCTAGGACCAATACCTTTTTTATGAACGGAATGTGATTTGAATACATGAAGTGATAATAACCAATTACCTACGCGGGCTACGTCAGGTTATAGCTCTATCAATATGAAGTACGTAATCGCCGCGCTCATGCAGAGTCTGCTTTAAACAAAGTGTTTCCTTTCCACATTTATTCGCGACTAGCACCACATGGTGGCAGGAATCGTCCTTGTGGCTACTTTATTAGTGTGTATGCTGTTATCCGTAAATAACCTTTACAGCGTCACCAGGTTTGGGGACGGCGAGATCCTTAAGGGACCTATTTATTAAATATCATTAGCGTGTGCCTCTTATAGTATTCCAGCCGGATGGCATCTCCCCTCCGTCTGGAGCCACTAGATCACTCGCACCTAACGGGGATGATGTAACTAGAGGGCGTCTCTGAGAATCAAACCTCGGCTTTAGTTAGCTGTTGTCGTAGGGGGTGAGGAAATACGTTCTGGTACTTAACTGTACCTCTCGCACTCTTATCCTATAGGTATCTGCCTATGACTTTATTACTATTTTGTCTGTGAATATTACCAGGGGTTAGCGTACTGACTGATGTGACGGAAGAGGTGTTGACGAGCATGGTGCGCGGTCGCATCCCCGCTCTGTGGGCCAGCAAGAGCTACCCTTCACTCAAGCCTCTCGCTGCTTACTTTAACGATTTGCTAGCGAGACTTGAGTTTTTACAGGTGACCTAACCTTTCTTGGACTTGTTACAGAAAACGTTTTTTTTGCCAACTTAATCTAATCCATATTGGCCCGGCCCCTCTTCACAATGGCCCATGATGGGCGATTATAGACACGACCGATTGTTTAGAGGGCTTAATCGTCCATGAGTGGCCATCATCGTTTGTAGTAGTGAGTAATCGGTAAATTGTCGATACATTAAAGGGATGCGTGCCGATGATTGTGTGCGCGTACACACAATCGCCCATTACTCAGTTGCACGGAGGAAGTCGAGGCTCGAGGATGTGTTTGTTAAATCCAAAGTATGGAAGTTCCCTTGGGTAACAATGACATATGGGAGGCCACTGGACCCAATCCACAGATGGCCTTATCCGTTTTAACTGGGCTCAATCTTTCCGCATTGGCCTCATTCCGCTTTGGTCTCATTCCACACTGGGCCCGTTCCAGACCGGACTCATTTTTCTCTGCGCCCATTCTGCACTGGGCGCAATGCGGTTTGTTTCCAATTCGTAGGTTGGATACTTTTTTATGGAGTAGAGAGATGGAGCCAGGACGCGCCACGCGGTCCCAGTGTGGATTGGTGGGTGGTATACAAATATTTTTGTGTTCCACGACACTCACGAATGGTTTTTTCAAAAATAAAATGGAATATGTTTAATTTCTCCGAACGGCAAACTTCTCACGCAAGTTGAACTCGCGCTTGTTTCATGCACATTCCGAAACTAATTATATAATTACTAGCAAACCAGTGAACCAAATGTTCACAAAAAAAAATGTATTTCATTAATTGAGAACTTCGGAGATTTTGTGTGGTTTCGTTTGAAATAGGAATCACGTGATTTCTCGAAAACTGGAAGTGCTATGTTACTCACATCCGGTTTGTAGTCTTATCAGACTATTCTTAACTTATAACTTAAACATTCTCTATATCTATCTCTTACGGTTTGGCCGCTGAAACAGCACCATGGACGGACGGACGGACTTGTCTATTAGATAAGAGATACTGAGCAAATAGATATCAGCAGCCGCTGTCACTTTGACGTCCATCTTTAACAGATGACGGCGACCTAAATGAACAGCCACTATTGTGCAGAGAGCAACCCATCATCGCAACGATGATGGACACTTTTTTGATTACCCATCATGGGCCATTGTGAAGAGGCACCTTAACACTTAACTTTCAATAGTCAAGCGCTATTATGATTATACAACTATAAAATAAATAAATATTTCCAAAACTTACACCAATTAGCCTAGCCCCAAAGTAAGCACTGTAGGCTTGTGTTATGGGGGATACTAGGGTAACGGATAGAATACATATACTGTACATAAATAACTATATTCATATAGAAATACATATTAAACATCCATGACTGGAGTACAAATGTTTAAATTCATCACACAAACATTTGCCCCCACCAGGATTCGAACCCGGGACCTCTCGAGTCGGCGACACCATGAAACCCGGCGTACAAACCACTCGGCCACGGCGGTCGTCAAATAAAAAATTCTCTCGAGGAAATGTAAATTTCCTCGATATCTCATTCTTTTTTTTTTAATCTGAGGCAATATTATGAACTCTGTAACGCCCGCTTCAACCGCTATTTATGCCTAGCGTTAATAGTTTATAATATGGCAGCTCTCCTATATATCTTGTAGCACTGGCATCAGCACGGTCCACCTACGGTATTCTGGCTGTCGGGATTCTACTTCCCACAGGCTTTCCTTACGGCAGCACAGCAGAGCTACGCCAGAAAATACAGGATACCCATTGACCAGCTCGCCTTCCACTATGAGGTAAGAAGAAACTGATTTGACCTTCACAATAAAATATGAAGACACTCCATTTAGCCAGAATTGAAATTTTTATATTTTTTATTTTAATAGTGACAACCAAATATAAAAACACCTGTGCGTTAGCGATCATTACAGTTTATAGACAAAATTCGACGAGATATATTCGAATAGATCACAGTAAAATAACACTTCCTTTTAGTGGAGTTGTACTTCTCTTAACAAGTAAGATTTTAGGCCTCCACGTACTAGAAATTAGGGTCAAGATATGCAACGGTGCAATTGATATTCTGGTATCTCAAGCGTCTATGAGCTCTGACTACAGCTTACTTACCATCATGCGGGCCAAAGCTGTTTTGCCACCATTTTTTCATACAAAAAAACTCACATGCTTACTCTGACATCATGCCTTACCCAGTAATCAACTTTACGGATTTTTGTAAAAATCTACATCAAATGTCAGATGTGATCATTTGCTTGGCCATTTATAAAAATGACAAAACGGCACTACCTCGATATTTCATTATATCCATTGTTAACTAGGTTCAAAAGACGTTTATGCTAGAGCAGCCGCCAGAAGAAGGAGTTTATATCCACGGTTTGTATATGGAGGGAGCGCGTTGGAACATGGAAGACTGCTGCATTGACGAATCACTCTCTAAGGTGCTCTACGACGAATTCCCGCCAGTAAGTATTGCTGCCTTATAGTTTATTACAAATCTTCGCAGTATTATATAGTCTTGTGGTGGTGGCAATGGCAGCACTTCAATTACCAGAGGAAGGAGTTTACATCAACGGTTTGTATATGGAGGGAGCGCGTTGGAACATGGAAGACTACTGCGTTAACGAAACACTTCCTAAGGTGCTCTACGATGAATTCCCGTCAGTAACTATTGCTTCTATAACATTTATTTCAAATCTTCGCAGTATTATATCATTTTGTGGTGGTGGCAATGGCAATACATCAAATACCAGACGAAGGAGTTTACATCCACGTTTTGTACATGGAGGGAGCGCGTTGGAACATGGAAGATTGTTGCGTTGACGAATCACTATCTAAGGTGCTCTACGACGAATTCCCGCCGGTAAATCGTTTATTACAAGTATTCCCAGTATTATATCCTTTTATGGTGGTGCCAATGGCAACACTTCAATTACCAGAGGAAGGAGTTTACATCCACAGTTTGTACATGAAGGGAGCGCGTTGGAACATGGAAGACTACTGCGTTAACGAATCACTCCCTAAGGTGCTCTACGACGAATTCCCGCCGGTAAATCGTTTATTACAAGTATTCCCAGTATTATATCCTTTTATGGTGGTAGCAATGGCAACACATCAATTACCAGAAGAAGGAGTTTACACCCACGGTTAGTTCATGGAGGGAGCACGTTGGAACATGGAAGACTGCTGCGTTAACGAATCACTCTAAGGTGCTATACGACGAATTCCCGCTAGTAAGTATTGCTTCTTTATCATTTATTACAAAACTTCACAGTAGGTATTGGGTATATCTTTTGTAGTATTGGCAATGGCAACACATCAACTAAGCGATCCTTTATAATGATAATTGATGATATACTGTAACGTATTAATTCAGAGAAAGTATAAATAGCTATGAATATTCGTGTCGTGACCCAACGACCCTTCGCTTACTGGACTTCATGAATCTTATGTTCTGTCCGAAATAATAAGTAGGCACCACTTTACAATGGTAGCCGAAGCTACACTATCTTTTTATGTGTAGAATTTTATTGGTCTGCACCGGCACAGCACAGTTGGCGCATTCCAAGTGTTTTTTTCTGTATAAAATCATTAACAAAAGTATAACAAATGCAACAGGCATTATTTGAATTTGATCGTATTAGAAAACAGTACCCATGGCTCACTTAATTTACCTTAATCATAAGTTTAGTTAAAGCCAACACTACACACACAACAACAATAGATAGGTTGCAATATCGCTACAGCCTTCTTTGGAAGTTGTTGAATTCGTGAAAATTGTTAATCCCCCTGTGGCGAGAGGCTGAGCACTTTCTCGCCTTAATTGATTAGAGAAGTTCGCAAACTTTGTTGCACAACTTGTGCTCGGGGCGAATCTTGCCTAATTTCATCAATTCAGCGCTTATTCCGTACACGTAAGGAAAGAACTCGAATTTACCAAAGATTATTAATAAGAAACTGTATAGGTAATCAATTATGGAAAGTACAAGGCGAGCCGAACAAGTTTCACGGAAATGGTTAATTATTGCTTGGTTTACCTAGTACTTATTGTTAATTATTTTCAGCTTATTTATCGAATGAATACCCAACATAGTTAAATAAACCACTTGGCCTATAAAAATATAATAGCCCTAAAGTTTTGCCAGTGATTTTTATAATCGTTGATTTAAAAGCATTCTAATAGTAACAACATTCTTATTCCTAGATGTTTGGGTAATAAGGACTACGAATTGGATTGTTTTTCGAAAGATTTAAAACTTCAACAGCTTTATTACCTGGACTAAACGGACTGATGCTGTCTCTTTTGCTTGCTAAAAAGACAATAGAGACAACATTAGGTTTAAACTTTAAACCTAATGCAGACAACATATTAGTAATTTAAAGTTAGAATTTGTGTGATGTTCTAGATATTTGTTATTTGAAATCAAGGCAAAATAAAATTTGAAGGCGTGCCCCTTATTACAAAACGCGGACTAATTTCAAGTATCTAGAACATCACACAAATTGTAACTTTAAATTACCTATTACATAATTATATATGTTTAAGCATTTAGTTTTTTGAAGATCATTTTTATAGGTCTCGGTAATATCTCTTTTTCATCACTTAGGTATGGTTAATCCCCCTGAAGCGTGACGACATCCCTGAAGACGTGTTCTACAACTGCCCCTTATACAAGACGGGCGATAGGCGCGGCGTACTTTCCACCACGGGCCATTCCACCAACTATATTTTATTCATGCGACTACCAACCAAGATGGATCCCGACCACTGGATCATGCGAGGCGTGGCGCTCCTTACACAATTACCCTTCTAGATCAGCACAAAGCGTTTGATAAATAATAAAATATTAGACCGTGGTCGTTGATTTCAAAGCTAAGCAGAGACTACGTTTTCTACCATTGCCTCAATACTAAAATACTATTTCACTGTGGGTTCTAGAAGGACTGCAACATAAATGATTATCCTATTCATGCATGAATATGGATCTCGGCATTGGATCATGCAAAGCGTGGCGTTACTAACACAACTCTTCCAGATCAGAATAAACATTAGATAAGTCGTGATTTATGATGCCAATATAAACTATGTTGTATTTGCGGCTGCCCACCAAGATGTATGTAGAGCCCTGGACTATTTACACAACTAATCTGAACACCATCTGAATATAAGACAGCCGTATTTGACTCCAAGTCTAAGACAAGACCACGAGTTCCACAACTGGCCCAGTACGAAACTAGCTACTAAATATTTGTATCGAAATGGCAAAGTTTTTATGGAAAAAGCTAGTTTGTTCTTACTTCCGGTAGCGGCGCTGCTTAATTTCCATAGAAACTTTGACGATGGCGTTACGAATAAGTTCGTGCTTGGGATACTAAGCCAACCGCTCTCACTGAGCTAACTGAAATTATGTGTTATCGAGTTTGAACATATAAAAAATATTTCACTTTTTTCCTTATGAGGGTTACTCAATAATAGTTCTTAAATATTTCATTCATATGGTGGCCTACGTTTTACTTCAGTTGAAAAACCAATCTACCTTTACTGAACTTTACTTAATAACGTTAATTAACGCTTCTTTACTGACTCGCCAAAAGCCTGTCATTTTTAAATTTGGTGCATTAATTTATATTTAAGTTATAATTTAATGCAGCAGTTCAATTACGATTATTTGAACTACAATCATTTTAAAAAGTTTGTTTTACCTAACTTATTTAGTTTTCTGTGATATTTTAAATCTTTACTGTATTTCTCTCAATCCTTTGAGACGACTTGTGACCTTTCGTTGGTTTTGGTTACCTATTATTATTTTAACTATTTTTAAGACATTGTATGCGTCAAAGTTGTGAAAATATATTTTATCGATTATTAGTATTTGTATATATTTAGTAATATTAATCTATTTTTTTTGTTCTTAATAGAGATGCCAACATTCACATATATCGCTAGGCTACCTTCTTTGCGGAAATTTACTGAAAATTGATCTCGTCGCGTTCATAAATACATACCTATGTCATACTCATATCGTGCGCAATCTGGTTATTACTGTCCCAGAATGGGTGGGTGGGTGGTGTGTAAAACAGTTTCATAAATGTCGTAATATAATTACAGTAATTTTCTGGTAAAATACTGATGACCTCTACAGATACCGTCTAGAAAATATACATATTACAGAACATTGTGGCATCTCTTTCAGTTAGAAAAGAAATAAAGTTTATTTTTAATTAGGTTAGATTTCATGTACCTATTGTCTAGTCATAATTATTTTTCTTAAAGTACTACCTAAAATAAAAACCAAAGTTCGTGATACATAAGTGTTTTATTTAATTGTGCCCGAATAAATTTAGAACATTTTTTCTCAAACATGTTTTGAAATGTGAGCATTATTTTTGATAACCTTCTTCGAGGTAAATTGAAATTGCTGTATGGCCACATATATGCAAGCAAGGGATGGCAAAAATTGTATGGAAATCCATATCTGTCGTATTTAGCAACCAAATAATTTACATATCTGTCGTGTTATTTAAAATTGGAACGATCTCTTACTCCGAAACATGGCAACCAAGGAGGTAACTTATCAAAGGATTTATTTAAATTTCGAACTGGATTACGAAATATAAAGCTGTTTATGAAAAAAAAGCAAATATTGTTTGTTCGTCATTGATTTTCCAGAATTTCGAAAGTTCTGCCTAGGTACTACTTAGTTTTAATTTCCGTGCATTATTTGAGAAAAGTACTATACAAGCCTTGGCCACATCTAGGCATTGCTGGCCGCTGCAGTAATGTACTATATCCTTTGAGTTTTACTCAAAGACTATAACTGACATATTTTTTTTTATAGGACTTTAAGGCTCACTTACAGTAAACTTGCTTAATCTTAAACAAAATTGCTGCAACTGTACATAAAACAAAGTAAATAGTTTCTGGCATCTAGGTTACAAAAAGGTTACCAGTATATCTGGTTATCAGAGACTTTATCAGCAAGTATTTAAACAGGCTCTAAGGCCTACTTTCACCAAATTTGCCAATGTTCAATATGGAACTTTTTGTATGGGATAAATCTAGTTTAAGGTTAATCGAGATTTAGTAAATTTGGTCTTGCACCAAATTTAGACATAAGTGTACTTAAGTACAGACAGCCACAGCCTGGTTTATGGTAATCTTATGTTTATGGTGAGTAAGTACTTCGAAGAACAAAGGCATTTTACTTAACAATCATAGAAATCAAAATCGAAGCGAACAAGTATTGCAGACACTGCTAAAGTTTATCGATAACAACGTTTGTAAGTAATCTCTTTTTTGATCTAATTGTAGATTGTTGTTGAACAATTTCAATGTGTTTGTATCAGCAGCCCTCTCTAAGGGTTGGTTCTGCCGTGGTGATGGTGCGGGGTGTCTTGGCCTCCTTACAAACCGAACAATCACAGAATTAATCCCTCTCGGCCCAGATGGGGCCCTCTTGAGACAATGTGCCCGTTTTGTAACCTTTTCAAAAGCGCCTGTCAATCAATTTATACGTTTATCTGTAATGAGATGGATTTTGTAGCTTTGTGCGTCCTCCCTTGTTTTTTTTACATTTTTTAATGGAAAGGAATAAACTTGTAGTGACATTTTATGGTTGCATTTTGGTATTTATGGCAAGTATGTTTTTTTAATTTCGTGATAAATGTCTCCCCCGTATCGATAAATTTTGTCTGTATTAAATGTAAAATTATAGGTTAACTTAGAAAGCAGATACTTAATTAAAAAGATACATTAACGTCGGCCGTCATCTTTGATATCGCCCATCATGTTCAGCATTGTGTAGCGAGATGAGGGCGGAAGTTTTCTCTCGGAACGAGGTCAATGTCGTCGGCGTCTCATCGTCATTTGCGTCCGCTAAGGGGGCCACAGCCACAGCTTGTAGTTACGAGTGGGCACATTACGAGAGCGGTGACACCGCTCGTCCGTCGCATATTACGCTGGTCCCGTCATTTAGGAAGAAAAAGCTCGCATCCCAGATACTGCATGTATTAAATAAGCGAGTAGTGGGCAGATGCGGGTGGGGGTTGGGGGTGGCGCGGGCGTAGTACGGGAGGCACTCGGTCTGGCACGGCGTCGCCCCGGCAACGCGAGATATTGATCTGCGCGGCCGACAGCGCAGCATCCCGGCCCCGCGCCCCGCTCCCCGCTCCCCCGCCGCAGCCTCACCCCGCCCGCCGCACGCGCGCCCTTGATTCTGCCGCTCGACCGCCGCCACCACCCCGCCATAGCACCCGATGCAACCCCCCAACAAATACTTATTACATTTCGCACTACACATTGCACGTAATCCAATGAAGACAATGTGACTATTGCATCGTGCGATCTCTGCCAATGTTAATGGTTTTTAAATAACAGATTTTTAAAGCATATAAGTGTAGTAATGAACTGTTTTATTGTTACTAAGATAACTACATAATACTGATGCTTTCTTTATATATACGAAATAATTACCTACCTACTTTAAGTAGGTATAACTGACAAAGAAACCTGACATTTACGTGTAATTCATACTCTTTCGCTTTGTCTTTGTATTTATTTATTTGGTGGAAAATTTCAGGAAAATTCTGTTACGAAACAAAAGACTCGAATCTTTTGTGTCAAAAGAAAACATAAAGGTAGACCGGGAAGGAAAAATTACGGACTATTCGAGTAGGCAAGTAAGAACTTGGAAGTATTACATTTCTTCATTGAATAAAAAAAAGGGTATACTATTACGCACGACTTGGCAAAACAAATAATGTGTTGCCAAAACTTATTGTAAACAGTCCTAACTTACTGAACAGAGTGTTGTCTTGTTTTTTAAAGTTCATTACTGCAGCGGCCGGCAAAGGAAGTATTGATAGACGAACGTGTAAATGTGGGCCGAGGCGAACCCGAGGCACACATACGTAAGTCCATCAATGCCTAGTGGTGGCCAAGGCTTGTGTAGTACTATTCTCAATTAATGCGCGGAAATTAAAACTAAGTAGTGCCTAGGCAGAAAATTATTATTTTGAAATACAATTACTTGCTTTTCTAATTTAAAAAAAAAAACAAACTGCTAAAAAAAAAACACCGTTCATGTTGTGTACCCACTTTGTATGGAACCCTAGGTCGGCGAATCCGACTCGCACATGTACTGTTTTTTGTAGAAGCGTCAAATCTGGGTGGTATCATGAGAATGACCTCTGCACAACGTTCCCCTTGTGAATAATGATGAAGGGCGAATATCTTCCTGAATTTAATCGGATAGGAATCATCATTTAATTGTAGCACCATATAGATGCCATAGAGCTGGTCCCTGCATCGTGTGACGGCGCGTGCCACGGCTGGCGTCACCTATTCACGCTCACTGGCGTGGAAAAATACTTAGCGCAGCGCGGTACGGTGTACTAACCGTACCGCACCTAGGGTTGCCAGATGGTCGAGGATCGCATGGATTATCCCGACTTATTTACCAATCTCCCGACTCCCGACAAATAACGATATCTCCCAACAAACTAACATGACGACGATACACCTATCGTTTACCCTGTAGTTATGCTTTGACTGCACCTACAATTGGCTCAACAGAATTCGTTCGAGAGAATTCTACAGACAGCAACTCTAATACCGAAATTTTCATATTTGCCAGATATAAAGACTTCTTGATCTGGCATCCCTAACCGCACTGTAACTTTTTCTGAATCCCAATTAATTGCACATTTTTCATTGAATTCCTAAAACTGTATGCAGGTTCTAGTATTCTATAAATAAATACAGGCTACCCAGTGGCCTGGTAATATTAACTTTCTCCTAATGAATAACTAGTTTCATAGACCTCAATAATTATAAAACAAAATCTTTTTAACTTCATCTGCTCAGAAAGTTCTTTATTCTTGTTTAAAATTGAAGTAGAAAAGACCTAATTACTGATGTACTACTAAGCTGCGGTTTTTGAAGTTATACTTCTTTAGGCGCGTTATGAAAAAATGATGAGAGTGAAATTTTAAGATGCGCGCGCATCACTGTAACACAAAAATTAACAGCATGAATTCATGCGACCAACTTCATGCTGTTACTTTTGTGTTTACCGCACATTAAGAAAATCTACCAACAAAATAGAAATAGAATCTCTAGGTATTTAGTGGGTGCTAACGACTGCATTGTGAAGGCCTATCAAAAGTATTTATTAGTCTGGAACAACGGAACCAAAGCGCGATTCAGGAGACTACAGCGCCATCTCTTGACCATTGGTGTAGTAGAACCAAAAACCACATCTTTATTTTTTGTAATAAAGTAACAGTTATAGGCATTCATATTTATAATATCAAAAGTATTTTTTAATCTGGAACAACGGAACCAAAGCGCGATTCAGGAGACTACAGCGCCATCTCTTGACCATTGGTGTAGTAAAACCAAAAACCACATCTTTATTTTTTGTAATAAAGTAACAGTTATAGGTATTCATATTTATAATATTTATCCACATGTTTCTAGTTTGTATATTCCGAATACGTGTTTGAGTTTCATACAAGTGCAAATCACATATGTTCTAATAAATTATATTCAATAGCGATTTTAATTGAATATTTTGATTGTTTATTTATTTTTTCAAATTAAAACTGAACTTTATTGACTGTGTCCTTTTCCAGACTTTTTATTAATTTATTGAAATTAATTATTTGCATGCAATTAAAAACTAATTTTAAACGATGCCAAAGAAGGATAACTTCTCACGCGCCTACATAAGTACACGCACCCATTTTTTTTTATTATTTATGTTCCAAAAAGTGGTCAGTATGATTTTGCAGACTTTCAATCTATTTTTTTTTTACATTATACTGTTTGCTTTCTGAATAAATTATTAAAAAACAACAAAAAGTAAAAAGCTAGCTGATTATTTTATTTTAACTGAGTTTTTAATTTGTTTTCCTATCTACTCGAGACGGCGTATATTACTGATAATAAAGATTTATTGATACCGCCAGAATTAGAAGAAACTACCTAATCACTCATTGAGAACCTTTAGCAGTAAAATAAAAAAAAAAATGTGTGTCAGCTCCGACGCACGACCGGAGTTTACACTCTAAAAACTCTTTGAACAGACTCAAAACAAAATCAAGTCCGAAGAAGTCGGTTACAAGTAGAGATACCTCAGGAATCGTCCCATGGTTTCGACTATCATAGGTTCCATGTCACACATTTTATCATCTAACATCAGCGATATTCATCATATATTTTATATGTATTTCTGGAAACACACAATTTCAAAAATATCACACACTAGTCATCATTTTGTAAATATGTATTATAATTCCATC